GCCCTAAATGAATAATTCCATATACTTTTAATCAGAATTTTCTTTCCAAGAGTTATCATTCATCTCTTCAATGGAGTAAAGACTAAATTCTTCTCACCTAGAATACAAAAATACCACCTATGTTGGGTTCTGACCTGTTTTGAGAAAAACACAAAGAAACACAGTGGAAATTCTCCACTTCTACCATTGCTATAATATCTATAAATGTCACCAAGGCAGCTTGCAGAATATTTCCTGAGCCTAATGATGTCAAATGAAGGTAGCTTCATTACTAAAAAAGACTGTGACATTTCTTCCTTCAGTATAAGAGTAAATGGAAAATAGCACTTTGCTAGACAGTGCCAGTAAGCAACATGCTCCCGAATTTATTATAGAAGTGGGTATAAATTCCCACTGAAGTAAAAATTTAAAAAATGAAGTAGGAAGGGGGATGTTGGGAGAAAATGCATTCTTGGCTATATCAATGAGTAGAGTGAGGGTGAAGAGGAAGACAAGGGAGTAGCAGGAGGAGAAGGGAAACGAAGAATAGCAGTAGAGAAGCAAAAAGAAATAGAGGAAAAAGAATGTGTAGTAGATTAGATTCAATGAAGGAAGAGGAAAAGAAGGATGAGGGAGAAAATGAAAACATGAACTAGGCAGAAGAGAGCATGGGATGAACGTTAGGAAAGGTTATTCTCTCAGGGGACAGGAAACTATAGCCCATGGGTCAAATCCAGCCAACTGCCTGCTTTTGCAAATAAAGTTTTATTGGAGTACAACTAGGCTCATACTACAATTGCAGAATTAAGTACTTGTGCTGGAAACAGTGTAGCCCATAAGCTTAAAATATTTATCTGAGTCTTTCGAGAAGTTTGCCATCTAATCCAATGGTTCTCCAATTTCAGTGTGCAGCAGAGCTACCTAGAGGGACTGCTAAAGTACAGATTAATGAACCCTATCCCCCAGACTTTGAGGACCTCCTGATTGGGAAATGTAGGGTGGAAGCAGAACTCTTTTTTTTTTCAGTGCTGGGATTGTACCCAGGGCCTTCTGTGTATTCACAGCACACGTTCTACCACTGAGCTACAACCCCTGAAGTTTTCATTTCTAATAAGTTCCCCAAGTGATGCCAATGCTGTTGGTCAGAATACCACACTCTAGCAACCATTGCTTTAATCTTTGTAGTATGTAACACTAATATTGTTTTAAGTAAGGATTTAGTGCAATAAGAGAAAGGAAAATCAAACTTGATCTTGGTTTGAGTCAACTCCCAAAACAACATTGGATGGTATCAGCGTTATTATGGGACTGTGTCAATGAAGTGGACTTCACCTATTTTCGGAGTGTGACCTCTCCCCACCCATGGGTGTCTGACCTCTGCCTCTGCCTGGCACAACTGAGAAACAAAGCCATCAAATGTTTGGGATTTTTGCTTCCATCCACCTTACCCAACTTCCAGACTAGCTTTGAGTCTTCTAAATTTTTATTCCCTGAAATTGGCAGGTCTTTCAGGAGCTTTTCTCCTGGAGTTGGGCGCGAATGTTGTTCTGGGTCTGAAATCTTGGAGCATCACTATGTCAAGGATTCTGTCCGGCTTAACATCCTGAGATTGTGAGAACTGGTTTTTACCTGCAAGTTGAGCTGTGGCTTGCACAGTCATGATCTTCCTCTATTCGTTTCCGTAAGTCTGTGCTGTGGCTGAGAGCATGAGCATCCAATTATTAGCCATAGGTTTGCATTCTCTATGCTTGGGAGTTTTGTGGAAGATAGATGTTTCTCTTTTTCCTTCATCTTAGCACTTGAGAATATAAAAGGAAGCATTATTTTTTAATCTGAAAGTGCCAAAGATACCTTCAGAATAGAATAAGTTCAAGTTAAAATTAGCAGCTCTTTAAAACATGTGATAGTTTGATTCCCTATTGCTCTGAGTGGTTACTTCCTTACAAGCATAACCAAGATGGGTGGAAGATTGAAAAATCTATTTTCTGTTCCTAAGATTTATTAGTTCCAAAGGATTTCCAGCCTTTGTGAAAAGTTGATGTGCATGAGAAAATAAATTATGGGTGTCAGAGAAAGATGAATGATGTAAATGCATGTTACATTCCTGCCATAATTCTCAGGATACAAGAGATGCTTAATAAAGCAGTGTTAGTTATTGTTGTTGCACGGGCCCCCCTTACCTCTATGAATGCACAGTCCTTGGCTAAAAGAAGATAGAATATGTGAAAATAGAAGAATGAAACCTGTTGAAATTGTTCTAAGAAGGGGGAGAGGGGAAGAGAGAGAATGATGGAGGGGTAAATCTAACTAAGATATATTGTAGGCACATATATAAATATCACAATGTATCCCCCTGTACAACTATTATATGCTAATAAAATATTTTAATAAAATAATAAAAGATGATGGTAAAGCAAATTATGCAGGAAGTTTATACTCTGCATGGCACTGTGTGAACTCAAACTTGTGCATACTTGAACCATTTCTCATTTGCATGATCCCATTATGATAGGTTAAATATTGGTTATCAAAAAATTTGTGCAAAGCGTTGACATCTGTACTTTCAACACCCTGGAAACTTACTTTTAATGGAGCTCTGTGGTGAATTTTCCCATAAAGCAAGCTTATCCTCTATAGATATCACATCAAAAAGAATGTTATGAGTTTAAATTCCTTTAAATTCTTCTCCAATAATTTGCAAATTGCAATCAATGCCAGGAAAGGTAACATTGATGCAAAGTGCCACTTTCCTCAACCTTTTTTTCCATTACATTTTTCCTCTCTTCCCTCTGTTCATGTTGTAATATAGATTTTTTTGACTCCCCTTGTCTTCAGCAGTGCCACACTCAGCCACACCATAGATAGAGTGGCATAGAACAGAGAGATCATCTGGTCATCTCTTTCTGTTGTACTTCTATCTCCCTCCCATTCAGACACACCAACCTCTATGTTTGAGATAGAGTAGAGGCAAGCACATTTGTAGGCCGATCCTCTGAGTGAGTGGCTGCAGCTGGGATCTGTGTAAGAGTGGAACAACAGGGTGAATTTCTATTTCCTTTACTTATAAAAGTCTTGTACGAAGTTCACTGTAGCAGAAATTTGCTAAGAGGGATGATGTGAAAAGCTAACAGACCATTTTAGTGCTCCTCTCTCGTTTGTTCAGGAAGCTGCACTGCAAGGAAGACATTGATGGGAATTATTTGTTTATTATTGATTCACTGCAGTTTTCAAATGGGTTTAATATTAGGAGAGGCACCAGTCTTTCTGGTATCGGAAGGAAGGGCTGCTTAGAAGGTACTAGTGATTAGTTCAGTGGGCTTAAGTTCTCTCCAATATCTCCAGAGTTTTCAAAACTTGAAGCCATATAGTTATCAATTTCTGTATTATTTTCCTATAGACACTATAATAAATGATCACATACTAAGTGGCTTAAACACAACAGACTTTACAGTTCTGGAAGTCTTAAGTCCAGAATTTAATCTTGGTGGGCTCAATGTCAAGGCTTGCACGTCTTCTAGACTATAGGGGGAAATCTGTTTTCTTGCCTTTTCTAGCTTCTACAGGCTGCCTGAATTCCTTGGCTTTGGGCTATTTCAAGGTCAACAATATAGCTTTATCCCAAATCTCTCCTTTTGCCCTCTTTACTTTTATTCTGACCATCTTCTCTATGCCCCATTTCCTTTACTTTTGGTTCTCTTTCTTTATGCAGGTCTGTATTTAAATTACTCGGATCAAATTTCTTTTTTATTGTTCTCTCTGTACACTAATTAGTATATTAATGAGTAACCATGTTGCTCCTACCATTATTTAACTCTTTTCTTCTTTCTCTTTAAGGTGAAAAAAGATCTGTTCTGACACTCTTCTTAAATAGATTCATGAGGAAATAAGGTTTTTTTTTTCTTGTTAGTTTTCAGTTTGGAGTTTTCCTCATCATTTCTAAACCTTCCTTTTTGAAAGTTCATTGTCTCAATATTTTCCCAAAGAGAGAAATCTAGTACTTTGATATCAAATCTGATTTTGAAAAGATTTGTATTTCATAGCTTGCCAGCTGTATTTCCATTACCACATTTTATAAAGAAAATGTCAAAGTAGAGATTATGAAAGCCATTACTGTCACAGTTCTTGATTCCTATGACTAATTTGGGAGGAAATCTTCATATTTACCTATATCACTTACCAATGATTTTTAGTGGGAAAAATGTTGTGTATAAAAGAAAATTAAAGGGCCCAAAATATTTCTTCATATCTCAAAAGTTGGCTGCATTTATATTCACTTTGGTGTAAAAGTAAATATGTAAATTATGAAAAAAAGAATATACAAATAAAAGTAAACAAAAATCATGTGAAATAGACCATGAAGATAAAAATACTACTAAATTTTTCGTAAAAATCTTTCAGGTTTTTTGTGTACATGTATTTATGTATATTTGAAAAGGTTGTGATTTTTTGTTTGTTGGTTGGTTTTTGAGAGGGTCTGGCTATGTGCTCATGATCTCTTGCTTCAGCCTCCCTAGTGCTAAGATTACAGGTATGTGCTGCCATGTGTAGCAGATTATAACTATTCTGTTTATAGTGTCTTAAAATATATTGTTTTCTAATGTATTACTTTTGATGATATATTATAAGCCTTTTCCATGTTGATTCACATTTTTATTAGCTGCCTTTTATTTTATCTTATGGATATTCTGATTTATTTTTAAAACACTTCACCCTAGCAAACATTCTTGAAACTTCATTTAAATGTTTCCTTAGAATAAACCCCAGGAAGAGGAATTCATAAACAAGAGGTATTTTTAAGTCTTTTGATTCATTCTAGCAAATCTAGAAAAATCAAGTTAAACAAATACCCTCTAGGCTTGCTCCTACTCCATGGTCAATGTTAGTTGCAAATATGGAGCTAGTTTGGTGGTCCCAGGCTTTACTAAACTGTAATTTCACAAAATGGTGTTATTACTACATTTCTTTCTCTCCCTAGGCAAGCATGTGATAGTGATATAATTATTATTGTTTTTAAATTTCAGGTTACCTCGCACCTCGAAACCTTCCTAGCACTGGATTCTTCCCATTCCTACAAACCTTGCTTTGTGACACAGACTCTAAATGCAAAGACACACCATATGGGCCACTAGATCTGCTTCGTAGGAAGGGGATTGATGAAACACTATTTAAAAACAGGTAACAGCACTGCCCAAGTGTGTTGAGTCTTTCTGAGAGATGAAAGCTTTTCTCCTTATAATAATCTATACAGCCATCCTATGAATATGTACAACTTTATTTGTATGTCTATGTGTATAATAATGTAAATATGAAAAAACAATGCAAGTGCAACTTGGAAACATTTATGATTATATGAGATTGAGAAAAACCTATTTTGGGTGAATTTCTGAAGTTTTGCTTTTTAAGATGACTGCCAAGGCACTTCTACTTTGCCTCCCTCAAAGATTCTCTATGCCACCTCACACTATCAATGACACATTGCTCTAAGACTCAATCACAAACATGAGGTAAGCATCTGGGCATCATTTGCAGGAAGAGTGAGGTATTTATATTGTTCTGTGTGGTTCTTTCAGATGCCATAAAAACTAGGAAATGCAAATAAGAAAATTAAGGGCCTCAAAATTCGAAGTAATGAAGTTGGAAGTACACATAATTAAATGGTGACCTTTAAATGAGGTTAATGAGTATTCTGTTTTATGGTGTGAGAAGCAGCTGAAGAATGAAGACAGAGAATCTACCATTTACAACCTGACCAATTACAACCTCAATTTCTCTTCCTGGATTGCTAAATCTAAAGAGACTCCTAAGAGCCTACCTTTCTGTAGAGCTGAGAAGAATGTTGTAACTTTGAGTCAACCAGGAGATAACTCTGTTAAAGATTTTTTTAAAAAGTGTCTCTCAAGAAAAGATTATATTTACATATAACCAGACATATTTGCTTTCCAAACTTGAGTACTACATTCCTTGGCATGGACCATAATTTCTATTTTAAGAGTGAGCAACCAAAACATGTGTAGCATAAGATGTAAACATCAAGAATTGTCAGGGGAAACAACTTTGGACACATAATTGTTGGGTTGCTAATTGGCACTGGTTTTGTTGTTTTAATAAGTTAATTATATTTGATGTTTAGAACAACTCTGATGTTCATTCATTCATTTATTAACTTATTCAAGAAATAATGACTTAGATAATTCTGTGTGCCAGGCACCATTGCAAGGACTGTGATACAGAAATGAATGATAGAAATTTGTCACCTTGCTGTTTCTTGCATTCTAATGCAAGGAAGAGGAAGCAAAAAGAAAAAACCAAATAATTAGCATAATGACCTGATAATAATTGTGCTAGCAAGAAAACAAAGTAGGTTAAAAGGTAGAAGCTGAAAAGTAGGGATTTAATAAAATTGCAAAAGAAAGTCTCTATTAAAGTAGAGACCAACAAGCACAAGGGGAACCCTCAGCAGTTTGTGAATATCTGGAAGAGAGTGTTGAAGGCAGAGAAATGATCCTGAGGTGGGGATAAGCATGATGATTTAGAGAAGAAAGTCAGCTATTATGGCTGGAGCATAATGAAGGATGATAAAAGTGGCAGGGGACATGTTGACAAGAAACTCAGAGATAGAACAAGTAGACTCAATCATTAAGGGAAATCCCTTAATTTGTAATTTTTGGTGTAGTGAGAAGTTATCGGGAAGTTTTAAGCAGGGAAATGACATGACTTATTATAAGGACAACAGGTTATAGGTGTATACAAGCATTATTTTAATGAGTACTAGTGTATGTTTCTGTAAGAAGATCAAAACCAACCTCTAGAGTCTATACCCACTTGTGAAGACAATGTAAAGGTGACAGGAATAGAAGAATGGCATTCCTTGTTATTTCAGAACTGATGGTCTATATGAGTGATATCTTTGACACAATTTATGCTGATGTTCTAGCAAGAGAAGAAAAATATTAAATCTTTAACAACAATAAGAGATAGTGCAATGAAGACTACCAAAGGATATCTCAGCAACACACTCTCCATACCTAAAGTAGAAAGAGAGCTTTCACCTGTGGCAACAAGGAAGCCCTCATGAAGAGGTTTTCTTGAAATGGATATTGTGTGAACAAACCATTAGAGGATATATATAAATCATTAATTTACATAATTTATAAATCATATTAGCGGCCCACCTGGGGCTTTCTTCTTTATACATTCCCACTACTCCTATGGAAGACATAACTATGAAGGAAATAGTTAACATATCTCCACAATGTAAATATACTTCCCCCAAACGATTATTTGTTTGTGTTATGATATTATAAAGAATAAACATGTGGAGTTAGGTGAGATGACAGCAGGTCTTTTCTGCTTTTCTTAGTTTTATTCTAACCTTCAGGTGTTTGTCTAGCTCAGGTTGTGTATTGTTGCATATTCAGTATTTTTCTGAACTACCAAGTAATTGGAGCTTAATTTAGAAAATTAAGTGCAGTAAAAAGTATTAATGATATTTCTTATCATGATATAAATTTTATGCTTTGTATTTCCATGCAATGAAACTAGCACATGGTTACTGGGTAAGCCATTGCAGTAGATTGCTTCAGTACAACAGTACAGCCTTACTAAGAAACAAAACAGTCTTCCTATTCTGTTCTGTAGGTGTGGAAAGAAATTCCACCTTTGGTCTCATCAAAAGAGCCTACCATGTTTCCTTTAATAGAATGTTCTTCTGGAAGATATGATCACACTGCTGCCACTTCTCTCTGGCCAGTCACCAAGTGTTTTGATGTGATTTTGATTTTGGCCACCACTCTTCTGTTATTAAATTCATACTTCTCTGGGCATTAGCTTCAGGACAAGGAGCTTAAAAACTCCAACAATGAACGCAACATCGACTCTAACTATCTTAAAAAAAAGAAATGATTGCACTTACAGTTTTCTTGCTCTTTTGCACAATGGATGGTCTGACATCACAGATCTTACCCTTGCCCTTCCTCCCTCCATGGCCTCTAAGCATACATCAAACCGTGGGAACCTCTGGCTATGCCATTACTCACACAGTTGGCTAATGGCAGAGATCATCCCCTATTGCTCACAGGGTCATTATCTGGAGAAGTGATTCAGTATTCCTACAGATCCTGGTGGGAAACTGCCTCCCTGGACTTGCTCCCAATTCCTTTTTACACTTATCCATGGACTGTGGTTACTAAATTCGTGTCTCTACTCCTATTGGATGGCTCCTACAGAGTTGAAAAACTAGCTAATCCAATTTGATTCATTGATAATTTGAAGGTGGTAGAAGTGCTTTTATTAATATTCAAAATAAAGATGAGCTTAGGAACTAGCTTATAGATGTTAGAAATATAGGACAACTGGATTTAGAACAGGTGTTTGCCCTCATTTGCCTATAAAAATAAGATAGGTTGTATAGATATCTTACTGTTTTAATTTTAAACCGTAATCATTTAGTAACCATTTTAGCTAGAGTTAGTGTAAAAAGAAAGTTTAAATTTCATTAACAAACTGGAGTTTGTTCTTACATAAGGCCAAATTGTTCACTCATTATCTGAGAACGTATTGAATGTTCACAGTGTGCTGGAGTCTATGCAAGTCATTTTAGATCCAGAAATGATGAGGCACAGTCTTTGCCCTATGAGAATTTACAGCCTAGTGGGAAAGAGAGGCAAGTTACAGTTCAATTACTGCAAAAGGTGGTGAACACGATGAATGTTTGTTTAGTCCTCACTGTACCCAGAATATTAGAAGCAGATGGCGAATAGTTACACTGGTTCCTTAAGACATAATTTGTGCTGGGGAATATAGATCTTGCTGTTGGGTATAACATGGGAGTGGAAGTAGGTTTGGGTGGTGGGGTGTTAGGAGAATTTTCTCAAAAGACTTTAGGAGTCAGGCAAGGGCTGAGTATGTAACTCAGTGTCTGCTGAGGCCCTGGGTTCAATCCAGAGCATCAAATAAATAAATAAATAAATAAAGGTAGAATTGTTAAGAATGGGTAGCTACCAGAATGGGAAAATTGTGCTTGTGGTAAACCATTAAGAAAGAATCCCACAACCTGGTGAAAGAGAAAAATAGATGGAGGCACTTATATAGTAAGCATAGAGAAATAGACAGGTAGTTTTGCCTCTGACTTGTCAGAGAAATTACGAATTTCCTTACCCTGCTGCCAAGTGAATCTGCCTGTTTCGTGGCTGAGTAGAACACAATGTGTACACTGTCATGGGAGAGCCAATCTGATGTTATTTCCTTCTCTCTACCCTACAACATTTCTGCATGTGCCCAATGTGTCTTTCAAATCTTTTAGAAATGAGCTTTTTCAATTACATATTATAACTCCTGCACCCTTCCTAAGAATATAGAAAGTTCTAAGACAGGACATCATATTGAGGCATTTTTAAATGTTGATTATGATTCAGCAAACTAGAAAAGATACAGGTTTTGAATATGGGCAAGCAAAGAGTATGTCTGAAGTGTGAATGACCCTTAAAGAATGAAGGTCAAAATGAAATAGAAAGAAATGATTGAAATAATTAAAAAATTTCTGCAAATCACTTCTGCTTGGTTATAGCCAGGAAGAGAGAATGTATCAAATCCCCAGGGCCTTGATGGCTATTATGGGGTCTTTCATCCCTATTTGTAGTTAAAAGCCAATAATGCATGTCATCTGGAACTGGGATCAGAAGTGGGCTTAGAGTATCTCTCACATCTTTTTTCCAGATGTCACTACATACAATTATAATTCTGAGGAAAAGAGAAAAATACATATAAAAATTGTACTAAACCTTAGAGACAAAAACAAATGTCAGAATTTTCTTTCCAGGATTTGCCATATGTCTCTTTCCTAGTAGAAATTCTTTTTATAGATAGGATTTACCATGGCACACACAGATACCATCTATACAGGTAGTCTTTCCTTCTCACAGGAAATACTGACACCCTGTATAAGAAGTGTATATATTCTACCATTATGATGATATATATATAAATGTGACATTTCCCAAACATAACTGTTGGTAGACATGTCTGAGAAGTCAAATCTATTCTAGGGTTGGTTTTCCTCTGAGCATAGTAGAATTCTTACAGACAAGATGTTTCCCTTATTGGATTTCATTTCAAGAAGAGCCCCCATAAAGGCCACTGAGGCAGAGTCCATGTATACAACATCATTGAAGAGAGGTCCTTATCCATGGGACTCTACATTCAGCCCAGTCCAACAAAAACTGATTACATGATTCCACATCCACTTGGTGATTTGAGTCAGGCTTTCTTGGCTCACCTCCTGGGTTGAATTTTCTAGAATCACATGGGTCTATGTGTCAAATTAATATGGTTTCTGAGTTTTGCATAATTATTTAATATACTTCCCAGAGACATCCAGTTTGACATAGATTCTATGTGATCTCTTCAAAGCTATTCAGAACTCCTGAATAAGATTTTTTTGTCTCCTGAATTGGTGCTGGGGAGTGTGAATGGGGGTGAGTTATCATTGAATAATTCTTCTTACATGTCATAGTCTTGTGCAGGGGCTCTCAGTCTTCACATTGTTGAAATTCAAGACAGATAATTCTTTGTTATGCTGTGTGTTATAGGGTGTTTAGCAGCATTCCTAGCTTTTCTCTACTAGGTGCCAGGAACACCTGCCTGCAATTGTGACAACCAAATATGTCTGTAGACATTGTCAAATATCTGTCCCCTGAGGGAGGCAAGAAAAATTGTCCCTAGATGAGAACCACTGGTCTAATGAAAGGCTAAAGGAAAAAAATGTTATGGTAGGAAGAGGCTTGAGTTAAGATTGTGATTCTAAAGATCTTGCTCTACAAAAAAAATACCAGTGATAACTCGGATTTGGGGACCATCGTCATGTGTTCCAATTGTCCCTTCTGCATGTTCTTACTTAGCTATTACACTAATGTTTTGAACTCCCTAGGTTACTTACTTGATTTGCTCATTATAATACATATTGTACAAATGTAATAAATTTTGGTGAGTTAATAAGTGGATACTGTGGGGACAAGTGTAAGATTCCATGTCTGTCTGTGGTGCCATCCCTAGGTGTTTTCTTTTCCAAGAATGCCTGCAGAGTCACGTATACAACCATGGAGAGCAGGCCACTGTTATTTTAAAAGTTGCTTCATCACCTATAAGTTGTTCCAAGTGACATTCCTTATCATCATGCACTCAATGCTTGTCATATGCCAACCCTTCTACCATCTGCCAATGCAGTACACTGTGGACTATTGTCAAAAAATTTTCAGTCTAAAAAGGGGAAGATTAATTATTACTACAAATGGAAAATTGCTTTCATAAATGCATAATGAAATGAAGTAACCCCATAAAATGAAAAAAGGGGTCACAAAACTGTGGGTGAGGTCCTAAGCCTCATCCCACTGTACTAGCCAATGTTTGCAGGTTCCCAGTTTACAAAATAATAGAATATATCACTTGATGTCCTACATTCTTGAAGGTTCTAGGATTCTAAAGGAATTATGTTTGGAGCATATATGCATAAAGGGTATGTCTTTGTACCACCTTCTTTTGTGAGTTCTCTGACAAATAGCTAATGTTGATGAGTGTCTCTGATGTCAAGTCATACAGATACTTGGTTCAAACATCTCATGTTAAATTCACATCCACCTTGCAATGTGCAGATGAGAGACAGAATGGCTAACATCTTTTAGGAGGATACAGAGCTGAAATTACAGTTCTGACTCCAGAGTTCCTTTGGACACATCTCAGCAATGCTGGTTGTTCCTTTTTGTTCAATCTACCATCAGATCTTATAATTGACCACTGTGCTAACTGTTGGGAATTTAAAGATGAATGAAACATAGTATATGCTCCCAAAGATGTCATAGCCTAGAATGGAGATGCTATGAAAATAGTTGTGTATACATATAAATAAGTATGTACAAAATGACTGTGTGAAATAAGAGAAAGGGTTCTGTACTTATCATATACAGTGCTTTGTCTATAAGCATGGTTGTGCTCATTAGGGAGATGATAGAATGTCATTAACTCAATAAGACTGGCTCCCTTCTTGTCCTCCTTTAGTAATTTAGTCAAAAGACAATAGAATTAGTTACCATCATTTGAGGGACGTAAGTTGTATATCCAACTTACAGTCTCAATTTGCCCTTTTTTCACACATTCTCTTTGTGGTCCACTTATATTGTAATCTCCATTTTATTTAAAGAAAAAGTTTTAATGTTCAATGAGAGTGGACACATGCCATTACACCACACCTTGTAAATGCAGAATAAAATTAGGAACACTTTTCAGGAAAAGGAATAGCAAAGCACACTTGATATTCCTAGACCCTCATTTCCACAAAAAAGCCACACAAAAGGATGAGGGCAACTATGTTACCATGGGCACTTCCTGTCCAGGATAGGTCTCCCTAGAAAGGTAGTCTCCAGGGTTCCTTGTCTGGAACAGTCACTTTACTGCTGAGCCAGGTGCTTGCTGGGAAGGGAAGAAGATTTTCATTCTTTTTGGTGTTTGAAGAATATTGGTAGGAGTAGTGTCAATGCTCTTATTGGAGCATGAGAGATGGGTAGTTTGTCCTTTGTGGGACAAACGCAGCTTTTGCCTCTCCAAAAGCACACTTTCTGAGTTTCCAATTGCCTCATCTTCCTTTTTTTGTTCTTCTTTTCTATACCCATTTATTATTCAGTCTATTTTCTGATGCTCCTTCATTGCTATTTTGATTTTTGTCATTCTCCCTTTGGTTTTTGTTGCTGTCCATGAAACTTGAAATTTTTATGAAGGCAGTTTTTCCCCTTTATTTTCAAAATGTGTTGATATTCAGTAGTTTTCCTTGTAGTATTATAAGCTGAGTTGAAAAAAAAATGTCAAGGAAAAGAAAAGTAAACCCAACTTTCTCAAACTTTCTCAAACTTCCTTTTGAGAGAAGGGAAAAGGTTCAGGTCAGTTCTTATTTTTATTTGAATGGCTTTCCCATCCAAATAGTCAGCAAAAGGAATGTAAAAAGATTTAGGGGAATACAGTCATGGTCATGAATAATTCAAATATACATTAAGAATGCAGAACTTTTGGAGCAACCAGTACATTTTAAGGAGAATATTGGAAAAACACTGGGGAATGGAAACAAATATTACCTCTTCGAATCATTTTTATAAAAAGAACACACCAAGAGGAAAAACCCCACCAAACCTATTTTTCAAATTATAAATAACAAAGATCTCATTTCTAAAGCAGAAGCCAAATTGAGCAACAGTAATAAACAGAACTTCTCTCCATCATTCTGTATCTTTATTATGCTTTTTTTTTTTTTTGCAAATAGCTGAATCAACTTTTCAGAAAATCATTCAAATCCAGATATTTGTACTGACTTAATTTGTGAAGTTATACATTTATTTTATGCACTTGCTTTTAGGTACATCCAGTATTGAAGAAAATATAATTATCTCTATTTTAATAATAATTAACTAAATGGGAAATTAATTTTTAAAGATAGTTACTAAATTGTGGGAGGATCCAATAATATATTCTTCCACAGTCTAGTGTGATTGCATTATGTAGGGATTCTCGGCACCATGATTCTCTTACCGTTGAATTGACACATCTGTATAGGTAAAATTTGTTTTAATGTTATTGCCTTTACACCTGGTTCCACCTATGATGTCACCTCACCAGTCACAATTCTGGCACTTAGTAGACAGCAAATTATAATTTTTTTTCTTCTTAAATCCATGTCATAACTACTATTCAACTGTTAAAATCTTCTAAATCCCATGTATAATTTAATATAGGAAACTTGTTTTACTTTCATTGTTGACAAGCTTCAGTCTCCAAAATTCTCTTGGACTCTCATCTATTTAGAATCCATCAAGTTTTGAAAAGGAAAAAATAAATAATAAATACTTTGAATTTTAGCTCTAGTTTTTTTCAAGTAGTTTCCTTTCTATAAGATTAGAATAAAATAACTATTTAAAAACCTCATCTAGGTCATTATCTGAACAAAAGTTTAGCAGGCAGAAGACCTTACATATTCACTGGTGTATTGCTTAGCTGAGTATTTCCTCAGTATCCTAGTAGATGAAAAATTTGCAAGTCCTCAGAGAGCTCTGGAATCTGACACATAATACATTGCTTTAACTAACTGAAATTAATGTGGGTGAAGTTATAGAGTTCTTACTTTTGTTCCCCAGTGAAATTCTGAAAAAGTCATCTGATGTGGAGAAGGACAGCAATTTATCACCCCAGAGCACCCAAGTTCCAGAAGAAAGGCACACATCACTGGGTAAGCTAACTCACTTCTGTATAGTATAGAATAGGCCATTTAGAACAGCCAATAAAGGTCTCATCTTTAAAAAGTTTGTACCTTGGACTTTTCAAATAAAGATGGAATGCTTAGAATGTTCCTAAGAGATCCAGATATCCCTCATAGTTGCCTGAATGTGGCAGTATAATTATGCAAACGTCTTCAGAATAATTGGCAATTAAGTTCCTACTGAAATACTCTGTAGGAGCAAAAACCTAGATGTTGAGAATTTCAGTGTGTCCCAAAATTGACTGAACTTCTACATTGTCTTCAACTAGATGATGCTGGATAGCCAGAAAGTCCAGCAATAAATATTATTGAAAACTATATCAGAGAGTGGTCCATATTTTCCCTTTTACAGGTGAAGAACATGAGGAACAACAAGGTTAAGTGCTGCATCTGTAGATATATAGAGGAATAATATTAGATTGACTTCCCAGTACTCTTTGAATTATATGCTTCTTCCTCCCACTTACTCCTCAGTTTCAACCTTCAATGTGATTCTGTATTTAAGTCACACTCAGGCTAGCAGCTCTCAAACTTTTGTGTGCAAAAAACTTCTTGAATTGCTTCCTAAAAGCACAAGTTTCCAAGCCTTATATCCATGTGGTTTTGATTTAGGTGGTCTTAAAAAACACTGATTAGAACCCCAAACTCTCAAATCAGATGACTTGTTTTACCTTCATGGGACAAATATTTATTAGGTACCTGCAAATACATGTGCACTACAGTATCCTAGTGATGGGGGCTATATCCATGAATGAAACAAAGATTCTTGTAGGTTGAAATATGGTTGGTACTCTGGGAGAAAAAGGAACATCTTTTAAAAAATTCCACTGAGGACTCTAAGACATTAAGTATTCCAATATAAATTGATAAACCAAATGAGAAAAGTCCTGGATTAATGTAGTAGGAACATAGTAGTGAATGGTTTTAAGGAGTTAATGTTCTATCATGAATGATTTGTGGAAGTGTAGCTGAGTAGGTTAAAGCACAGTAGAAATAAGATCATGGCTTATGGTTCAGTAAGCATTGCTTTCTCAGTCATCACAGATTATGTTTCTCTCCCTGGTCAATCGAATCATAAATATATAGCCTTAGTTGAGAGGAATTGGAGGATAAATTCTTTAGTCCCATGGACACTAAAGTAAAGCCGAAGCCCCACTGATGATGGGGACTTGTAGCTTTGTATTCTGAGATTCTTTCTTGTGAGAATAACAGATATTGGTGCCAAAATAAATAAAAATCTGAACACCTACTGCTTTTCTGGACAGTCATGGTATGGATATAAATGTATACTTCTAGCTAATACTCTAAGCCCAGAAAACTCTATCACATTATAAATTGTACAAGATGAGGCCACTTTGGGAATTACTTGATTAGAATATACTGTAGTATGAACTAATCGCTTCATTCCATTTATTTGAGCTGAAATATCATTCAGAAACCACTTTGGGAAGGAGAAAATTTATGATCCTAACCAGATTTTAGCATCCCAATAGGATAATTAAAAAAGAAGACCATTATCACCAGATGTGCATTGGCAGATCCTTTGAACAGATGTTGAATATGATGGATCTATGGAGCTGGTGGGGGCACCTCAAATCCTCTAGGCCTGCTCAGAAATTATTCATTTTATTGGGCAGTGATGTTGGTGATGAAGTTTAATGACACAAACTGGAGTGAAAGCAAATGACATCAAAATGATTGGGGAAAAAAACAGGAGCAAACCAAAACCAACACAATTTTATATTGAAAGAAAAACCTATGCATTTTTCCAGCATAAAAATTTCATGGAAGAAGCATATTTGAGCACATTCTTGCTGTGGGATATATGAGGTTACAAAGGGTTACAAAGAGCTCCAGGTTCTTTTGTGATCATGACCATTTTTGCATATGTGTTTAGAAATAATACATTCTTTCTTCTACTGCAGCCACTGTATTTCTCAGTTCAAGTTCTGATTTGGGAAATACTGGAACAGAAACTTTTAATGGCAGTAAAGTACTTGCACGGATCCTTGTTTTGGAAAAGGTAACTTCATTTAGTTTTATAACGGAAAGATAATGAAGAGGTTGAACAAATGCACTTTGGGTTAATAAAAGGGATCGCCCAAACAGAAGGAGGCTGGAAGCAACTATCCTATTTAAAAACTATCTCAGGAAGATTCTTTCTTAGGCACTGTTCAATCAGAGCTTAATTTTTAAGACATTGTGAATTCTTTATGTGCTTGGGCATTTATTTATTGCCCTGGGAAGTCCTTTAATTGAACTTAACGTTTTTGTTTAGTAAGAAATAAGGTGGCATTATATGGGATCTTTCAATTTTCTGAAGCAGAAAGAAAAAAAAATGAAGCTATACCACTCTTTCAATTTGCTGCCTCATCCATACTAAGAATGTCTTTGGACAAATTAGGGCTATGAACAATCTCTTCCCCAAGAAGGAAAATCCTTAGCATATTTTAGAGAGTTTGTCCATGGATTTCTCTGTTCCTAGTCATCATCTACTTTGTGGTTTTGCAGATTGCAAGATATTAAACATAATTTTACAGGAGGTGTGAACTGGCTGCCTGTGAGCCAAGTGTGTGTGTGGGGGGGGGTGGGTTTAGGAAATTAAATTTGACTTTTAGCCTGCCACACAGGCTCTCTAGAGAAAAGATTCAGATGGGATCTGATCACTATTCCAAGGAAAAAGTGAGTTAGTTTGATGCTTTCATGCTTTTGTTCCACTGACTTTAAATTATGGATATGTGATGTCCTCCCCTATTTATCTATACCTCAAAAAATTTCTTCCTATCCTTTATGCACAGACTGTACTTCAGATTCTCCATTAAACCTTTCCCAATAACCACTTCCTTTAAACCACCCATCTTTGCTTGACAAAGTACTGCTTAAGTTTTAGATCCTTCAACAAACATTCTTTAAGTATTTTTTATGTATTTTTTTAACTCAGGGCTTTGAACTTGCTAGGCAGGTGCTATTCTACTGCAGCTACTCTGCCAGCCTTTTGTTTAGGTATTTTTAATTTTACAACAAATACATAGTCACTAGGTTCTCATTTAATTGATCCTTATATACAGTGATTTTTGTGTACTGAATCCCCATGTAGCATAACATGAATTTATTTCTTTTTCTCTTCCTTCTCCTCCCTTTCTCCTGACTCTTTTCCTCTCTTCCTTCTTTTTTTACTCTCATAAACACAGCAACACACTGTGAGATAAACAGTACTTGTACTTAATAAATATCCATTGAGGAAGAAAAAAAAAGAAATTAAATTTGAATGCCTGTAAGCAGGACAGGTACTCCTCTGTTAACTATAATCCCCTTTTCTCTTTGTTGTCTCTCAACCAGTCTGATTCATATATTTAAGCTATTTGGCCTCTATTGTGGACATGTGAGTCCTGATTTGCAAGCTCTTCAGAAATGAAGAGAACATTTTCAGTATTTTTCATTAGAAATGCTATTCTCTCTCTCCCTCTCCCTCTTTCTCTCTCTGTCTCTCTCTTTCCCCTGTCCATCACTCCTTCTCTTGTATCACACACACAAACACACACAAGCATTTTTAAAAATTTATTCATTTTGTACTCACTTTTTTCATCTGAATCATGAGACATGTCTATGACCTTTATTCACATTGTATCAACCATAGCCACTACTGCTAAATATGCTTAATGTCTTTATTAGTGACCTTGTAATTAATATTGTGAACAACTGACACATCTCAATAAACTGTGTCATGTGTGTAAACAAATGGATGTCACAGAAGTGGATGCCAGGAAAAGACACCATGGTCATCAATGCAACTCTTACTGGCTCTGGCCACATGAGACTTATCCATTCTGTACAGTATAGACATTGAAAGTTTAGATTATTTAATATTTGAGGTCTCTAAGGGTCCCTGGCTGGCCTAAGAAACTCCCCAATATGCTCAGTTAATTCTAGTCTAAAGCCTCCCCCAATAAGGCCAGAGTATAAACAAAGGGAAGATATTTTTGAAAATGTTGTAATTAGCATATATTAGTTGTACAAGGAGGTTCCTTTGTGACATTACCGAATTTGCTTAAAATGTGTCTTGGTTAGATTCACCCTGACCATAATTGGCCCTCATTATCCTCCCATCTTCTTAAAACAATTTCAGCAAGTCTCATTATTCTATTTTCATACAAGTATATAAAGTATATCAATCATATTCACCTTCCTTGGCTTTCTGTGTTCGCCAACCAACTCCCACTAGTACCTACCCTTGAAAAAGGCTTTTTTTTTTACATTCCTGATCTTTATTTTTTAAGAGTACATTCATTGTTCAAAGGGGTTTCACCATGACATTTTATACCTGAATATATTGTACATTAATCAGATTAACCCCTTTTCTCTCTTTCCTCTTTTCCCATCCCCTATTACTCAACAGCTTTTAGTGCATTTGAAAGTTATTCTATTCCATTCTGTTTCCACCATATTGGCTCCCAGAAAACAGTCATGCATTAGATCAGATAAATTCCTTAATATGTAGAATAGAAATGCTATTCTCAAAAACACCACTTTATGCTACTGAAACTCCCAAGTGCTCTTTTTCATATGGAATGAAATTTTAGAAGTTTGTGAGACAGCACAGAGCCATATATCCAGGGAAGATAAGTCCCAAATGAACTTTATATGTATAGATACATATTTTTATAGAACTTGGAGCAGGGAAAGGATATAAAAATTAGGATGACATATTGATGCCTATGTCAGCAGTCTTCCTGATTCCTTTCTTTCTCTTTACTACTTTCTGCAACCCTTGCAAAAATGAGTAGAGGAATCACTTTGGGAAGAGTTTATGTGTAATGTTAAAAAGTGATATGGATAAATGACTAAAAGACCTAGCACGTATAGTACATCTAGATAAGTGGATCCTGCCTTATTCCATTAAATTTAGAAGTTGAGTTGCTGAAAAGCAGACTGTGTAGATTTTGTGATAGAAAGTTAAAGGAAGGATAGCATTGGCCCTCACTTCATAGGGTTACAAGAATTTGCTATTAGAAGGAACCCCTTACTTGTTACAATGAAATAGTCAACTCTGTAAAAGCCTAAATAAATTAATAATGCTGAATCTATTAATATTATGCTGATAATAGTGCTGTATCTGTGACTGAACTGCACTGTGGAATATATAAGGGGATTATAATGATTCACTTGTGAAAATGATTTCCAACTACTGCTTTTTATAATTCTATTGAATTTTATATATTTTTCTATGTATCTTTTCCTTTTTTCTTTTTATGCATGAGACTGAAGTGCAACAATCCGTCTTTCCATTTGTATAAATAAATGCAGATGTTCTTGACAATAAACCTTGAAGCTCCATCTTCTCAAAGTTTTCCAAAGTGCATGACCAGTTTTAAGGAAACATCACAAAGAGTGAGGACATGGAAGTTTCTGCTGTCCAATACCCAGGGGAAATGAATAAGATTTTTTTTTTATGCGTGGGATGTTTGTCAGAAAACATTTAATGACTTTAGGTTTTCTAGTCAGAGATGAGAAATGAGTTCAGGTATACAAATCAAATGTAAATCATAACAATGGTAAGAATTTGTCACATGCAGACATAGCCTCCCGTCAGAACTTCCCACTTGTAATCTCACTGTATTTCATCATTATTTTAATCGTTGCAATAATAATGCAGGACTTTAAAATGACCATTGTGAAGACAGATCAGCTGCCTTGAACACTAGACTATTTTAACATCTGTGTTTACTAACATTATCCCTCTCTTCTTACACATTTTAGCTTTTGAAGCAAAATTCAACTTCAGAAGACATACGACAAGAACTATGTGAGACTTATCCAGGATATACCACAGATTATGCCTTCTCTTGGATCACTCTAGGAAAAAATGTTTTTAACAAATTTTGCCTTTCCAACATGACTCTTTTAGAGACTTCTCTTCAGGAACTACAAGCACAGTTCTCTCAGGTGAGTGTAGAACTTTTAACATGACCGAGATCTCACAAGCAATTAGAGGAGGTGTACTGTTTTCATTCTTGGAGTCACAAAGTGAAACAGCAGGAATCAAAGGGCAAGTCTAAAGTCCTCATGGACTGGGTAACACAGACTGGAATATTTTTGGAATTTTACCATATTTTTCTCACATGGATGTTTGCACAAAATCTTTGCTGCTCAGTAATGTTCATGTATCATTTAAATGTGCAAGATTGAAATGATTTGATGTTGAATTAGAAATATTGCATTACAGTTAATATAGACACACCTTCATGGATGAAATATGGCTTGGCTCTATAAGGTATAAAGATTGACTGTCTTCCCTAAGGTCTGTAAATGAGATTATTCAAGATAGAATGCAAGCTTAATAATTAAACTATTAGAGCCATGCAACTGTCAGAAGTTAGAATAATGTGTAATGTCTTTTTATTTTTCTCACTGACCTCAAATGTTGCAAACAGACAGCAATAATCTACATTTAATGAAGCCCATGTATAATAAAAGATAAAAAAAGTCAGAATTATTTTGAAAATTTACAAATAGGAATAAATGTCACACACCTATTTCTAATATTTCCCCTTGCTTCTTTGAACTTTATTGTAAGTAATTCTTTAAATTTTTAAAAATTGCCCATTAGTAATCTGCTTTCTGAATGAACCAGGTTGGAGACACTTGTGTAATAACCCCAATCCAATACAAAGCACTTTCAATCCTTTCTTAAATTTGGCAGCCTTGTAGAGTAGAATGTGTGGTTCAAAAACAGGTTGTTCAAAATCCCTCTCAGCATGAAAGACCTTGAATTAAGACAGACTGAAATCTCAACTTGACTAGCATGAATGCGTTTACTAAGAGAATTGCTTTGAGTAGTAATAAAGGAAATGCTTTAGCTCTGAAAGTACCAGCTGCATCCTACAATCCCAAAGTCATGGTTTTCATTTATTGTAATTATTAACATAGGTTCACTCACTATCATTCCTTATAACTAACATTCCTAGAATTGCAACAGAGCTTTAAAAATATTTTATTACATGAATTGTGTATAATTCTAATAGTAAATGATAAGCATTTTCATGGAAATATATTTCTAAATGTGATGCATGTTATATATACATGATATTATATATATGTGTGTGTGTGTGTATATATAAATATATATATAAAATAGTTTTAAGGTATCTCCACCTGAAACTAAGAGGTCTATTAAAGATATAGACTTTATAGTCTGCAACTCCTATATCAAGTCCTAAGGAAAATAAAAAACAATACTCAGAAATTAATTATCAAATATATGATTCCAAATATTTTCTATAAATACAGCTTTGTTAGCCAACCTTTAAATATGCTAATTTCAGGAGCTATATGGAAAAATCCAATGATGTTTATGAATATTAGAATTTTTCCCTAGTAAAAGGTGACTTCAAACTGAGCAAATATCTGTGAGAACTACTGATGTGAGAACCAAGATTTTTGATGTTTTCAAAGACAACATCATGTGAATTACAAATCTTAAACTCTTTTTTCGGTTTTGTTTTTTTAAGATTTCAAGTGATCCCAATAATCAGAAGATAGTGTTTCAAGAACTGGTCAAGGTTCTGTCATTCTTCTCACAAGTGCAAGAGCAGAGAGCCGTGTGGCAGCTTCTCTCTAGTTTTCCAAATGTGTTTCAGAATGACACATCATTAAGCAATATATTTGATGTTCTTCGAAAGGCAAACAGGTAAGAAAATGCAATACTAAATGGAATATTATTGCTTACAAAGATGTCTTTAAAAATATTTCCTCTGAGGATTACTGTCAGGTAGGTAATTTAAACACAGAACAAGTAACCTTTCAACATCTTACTGCAGATTTTAGCAAGGAAGGCGCATGTATTAAGTGAAACAGAAACATATGCCATGGTCATCACGATCATCAGGTGTCCATGAGGAAATAGGGAGGAACATTCACTTAATAACTGTATTGTTACTTATTATCTCAGAGCTTCTGAGAATGAGGTATTGTAACAGGACCAACTATGAGCTGGGCCAGTTACACAGGCTCATTCAGGGACAACCTGAGCTATGTGCCACTACAATTAAACTACTCAATAATAAAATTATCTCAATGGGGATTGTTTGGTACCATCCAATTAAAAATGACCCTATTGGTTAGAGTTTTGCTTCAAGTCACCTCAAGGGTGTTGATCTCCCTCATGTGTATCTGATTTATAAATCATCTTCTAAGCCTGCATATTGAGCTGGCTGGCTTTGGAATATGTCACAAAGACTTAAACATTCTTGTGAAAGAATCCCTTTAAAGGCTGATTTTCACCTAAAATTGATGTAGGCATGACTAATATTTAGAGTTTAATGGATAGTACTTAGGTTTTGGCTTTCCTATCTAACTCACAAATGTGCATTAAAAGTAATTAACTATCACATCAACAAGGATCAATTATTAAGTGCTTGTCACATGTCAGACAATATACTGGGCCATTTATACATATATTATGACATTCACTCTCATTTATTTATTTATAAATGAGTTAACAGAGGGTCATAAAAATCAGTCACATATCTGCTGATCATACAGCTAGCAGGATTTAAAGCTGGGTTTCCTGACTCCAAAACCCAGTCCACCTCTTTAAAATGTCATAAGAGGCATGTACTCTATTTGAAATGTCTAAAGTATCAGGAGACTGCTCTCTCCTTTGGAATGCTTCCAAGAGCTTATATCGCTTCAAAGACTTTATAATAAGCCCTCTGTTTGATTCTTACAACAGTGTTTTCAAATTGACAGAGCCCCATTTTAAAGAGGATAAAAACCCTCATGGAGGTAAAATAACCTTCCAAAGTTTGACAAGTGGTACATAATAGCTAGGACCTCATCTTGAGGAATCCAAATCCAAATCCTATGTTCTTTCTACAAGAGCACACCATAACTGATATACGGAAGGAGCATGATATTAGGATGCTATATTGGTCCTCATTTTAACTCTTGAGGTTTTCACTCACTCAGAATTTTGACACTTGATCCACTTCTTCCTATTTATGTTCTGTTTTAAAAAACAAAAAGCTGTATTAAGAAAAGAGAATGGAATTATTTGAATTTTATAATGCAGGAATGAAAATGGTAAAAAAATTCAAATCATGAATAAGATATGACTATACAATCACTAAAATGGGTAAAAATTTAAAAGATGGATAATACCAAGTGTGGATGAGAATGTAGAAAAACTGAATTTCTCATATATTGCAAGTTAGAATGGAAAACAACACAACTTTTTGGAAAACATTAACATTAACATTAACATTTCTGTTCTAAGTACAACAGAAAGTCCCTATGATGTGGGGAATCCCTGTGAAGTGCAATGGTGGTATGTTCTACTCTTAGGCTTTTACCCAAGAAAATGAAACATGTTCACATGAAGCCTTATATCTCAACATTTATTCATAATTGTTAAAAGTTGACGGGGAGACCAATATCTATAAAAATGGATAAAAATTTTAGTTTATTCCTACTTTTGCATTCTACTAAACAATAAAATATGTGGATTATTGAACACAAAATATGGATAAATATAATTAATATTATGCTAACAAGGGAATCTACACAAAAGGATATACACTATATGTGCAGATTTTGTATTGTTCCATTTATAGGAAATTCTATAATTTAATTGATAAAATTAATCTATAGTGTTACAAGTCAGATGAGTGGATGATGGTGTAACCATTGAGAGTATGAGGACAGTTCTGGGGTGCTCAAAATGTTTTGCATCGTAACTGTATGGAGGTTACTTGTAAAACTCATTGAAAGGAACACCCAAAATAAATGCAACTTATTGTATGTGAATTATATCTCAAGCAAAAAAATAATGAAAAAGAAAGAAAATTCCACAAAAGAATATTCAATAAAAGATGGAAGATCTAAAATATACTTTAGACATTATTTTGGTAGACAATATACATAAAGGCAATGCACTATGACTATCTTAATTCTGTAAAGATTTCATTTTCTTTTTTTGGCAGTACTTAGATTTGAACTCAGGGCCTCACGCTTGGTAGGAAGGCACTCTAACATTGAGCCACTATCATAGCCCTAATTCTCTAGGATTTAAAAAAAGTTATTTCATTCTTTGGCAATGCAGTAGAGTATGTTGTCTAGTAATGATTACAAATGAAAATAGTCTATATAGTAATGAAAACACCTATGGCTTCAAATTACTATAAAGTAAATGGCATTTGGCTTTTTAGTATTTTTTATTGTATTGTCATAAGAACAATTAACATGAGATCTACTCTATTCACAATTTTAAGTGTGCAATTCATTATTGTTAACTATAGGTACAATATTGTACAACAGATACCTACAGCTTACTCATCTTGCTTAACAGACACTTTAGGCCCATTGGCTGGTAACTCCCCATTTCTCACCTCCCCAACACCTGGAAAACACCATTCCACTCTTTGATTCTATTAATTTGATGATTTTTTACACCCCCCTACCCATTACCTCAGTGCCCAGGTCAGAATTTGACTATTTAAGATACTCCAAATAAGTGAAATCATACAGAATTTGTCCTCTGTGGCTAGTTTATTTCGCTTAGCATAACATTTTTAAGGTTCAGCCATGTTATTGCATATTGCAGAATTTCCTTTAAAAAGAAAATGCTAAATAGTATTCAGCTGTTTTACATATTACATTCTTTATCCATTTGTCAATGAACATGTACTTATGTTGGCTGCTTTCCTTCTTAGCTGTTATAAATAGTGCTGTAGTGAGCACAGGAGTATATACATTTCTTTGAAATACTGATTTCAGTTTTTTTGGATAAGTACCCAGAAGAAGGACTGGTGGATCATACTTCAGTTCTATTTCTAAGTTTTTGAAGAATATCCATATTGTTTTCCATAAAGATTGCACCATTTTGTACTCCTTCCAACACTGTGCAGTGGCTGTGATTTCGTCACATCCTTGCCAATATTTGCTGCCTTTAAAAAAAAACCATTAAATAATATCCATCCTGATAAAGAGAATTTTTATCTCTTTGTGGTTTGATTTACATTTTCCTGATGATTAGTGGCAGTAAACATTTTTTCATAGGCCTCTTGGTCAATTTTTTGTCTTTGTTGGAGAAATGTCTATTCAAATCCTTAGCTATTTTTAAGTTAGGCTATTAAGCTTTTTAACATTGAGTAGTAGGACTTATTTACCTATTTTGGAGATTAATTCCTAATCATATATATGGTCTGTAAGCCTTTCTCCCATCCTGTGGGTTACCTTTTTAAAGGAGCACCTTTTGACTTTTATCTACTCAAACAACTTGTTTTTCTTCCTTTCAGTGGTCTAGCAAACTATATCAACTTATTCACTTGCTGTTTCTAATATGATAGCAAGTGATCAAAGCGGGTTTTTAGCACTTCAAGTGGGTGAGGGTGACTGAGGAACTGAATTTTTAACTTTATTTAGCTAATTAATTTAAATTTTAAAAACTTATTCTTGATTTAGTGACTGGAAATCTTTTAAGTGTGTTTGGAACAACTTGGGTATATGAATCTACTTTTTCACCTTTAAATTTAATGAAATCTAAATGCAGGGTAAGAATTTTCTTTAAAAATTTAGAATCAGCATTGAGATGCTCTTAAGTGCAAAGCCTATGGTTAATTTTTATAGCAGTGTGAGAAAGGAGATTAAATAATGCTGATGTGATAAAATTTAGGATGCATCAGATTAAATCAAATATGTATTAAAATTAGTTTCACTTGTTTCTTTTAATTTTTTAATATGACCACTAAAAAATTCAAAATTAAATATATCTTACATTATGCTTCTATTGGGACACACCTTTATGGTTGAATCTTTTATTATTATTATTATTACTATTATTATGACAATGTCATTAAAGGCCCAAATGTACTCACAAAGCCCGCTACTTCATTACCAAATTATGGTCTCATTGGCTAATTTTACCTTTATTGAACAAATAAGAGACAAATGGACCCAAGAGTAACATTCATTTCCTTCAACAAATTTTTATTTTTTAAGTTGAAAGCTGCATACAAACTAATCACCAAAATCAGATTATATAATGTTAAGGTTGTGACAGAAATTAGCAGAAAAATTAAAGAATACACATGATTTTCACCTTTTATGAGGAAGAGTCTCTGCTGAAATATGAATCAAAAATATTTTTAAAAGGTTATCTTTGCTCAGAAGACAACTTGTTTTGTTCAATTTTCACTTCTATATGATGAAGAGCAGGAAAGAAAGCCTGTAAAATAAATGAATATATCTCAATCAATGGCTGAATGGATTTCAGAAAGGATGAGGCCAAGTGTCACTACCATTTGAGTTTGTTTTACTAGAAAAAGATTAATTCAGTCTGCTAACATATTATTAATAATATGAATAACAATAATGCTAGCAGTTTTAATGAGTCTGTCAATCGTCGATCTTTGAAATTGTTAATTTGTGGGACTGCAGATAAAGTGAGTTAAACCAAGGGCCAGGCTGGTAGAAGTCTGGCCAAGATCTGTGACACCCATTCAACTGGTGTGCATGTTACCAAGTAACCCAAAGACAGGGCCTGAAGTATCAACTATCGTGTATGAAGAGGAGAGATTAAAAAAATATGGCCATGCCTCCCTATGGGTAATAAGTTAACAAGCCTGTGGTTCTGTGCATGAATGTTCAGCGTTCCTCATCTCCTATCATGTTGAGGCACAGACAATACGTAGAGAGGATCAAACAGACAGCTTCCAGCTCTATTTATTACTAAAGGAATAGCTTTTGCAACTTATATAACTTTTGGAATTTTAGTTTTCCCATCTCAAAACAGAGCAAATAAAATGGAGTTCATGGAATTATTAAAGGACTACAATTAAAATATACACACATGTATATACATAATGTACATATATATGTAAACACATACCCATAGCTATATGTATATCCTTATATTGTACCAGAAACTACCTCGGAGGCACTTAAAATTTACCTTTCTTAACAGTTTTCATTCATGTCTAGGGGACTAAAACTAAATGATCTTAATTGAAATTTTGAAAATTCCCCAAAACATTACATACTACCATGAAAGTACATCCTCATACTGGACCTATTACTGGAGTAAGCTTTCCTTTTACTAAGAAAACTTGATAGGGAAAAGTGTTAGCTACTTTGTAACTTCACAATGGGAAATTGTTAACAAAAATCTTTTATTTTAGTCACTACCCAAGTTAAAGCATTGACTAAGACTTAATTGTTGGTATAAATTACTGTATTTGTGACATACAGACATCCTTCTTAGTAGCAACATTTCTTTAAAAACTGTACTAATGACTATAATGGAATCAAAAAGCATTTCTGAAATAATTAATTAGGTTTGGGAAATACAGAATGAACTAAAGTAAAAGTGAATTTGTTGATTGTCATATCTCCAGTGTAGACTGCCCATCTTATTGTTAGCATAAAAGTCATAGGAACACAGTGCCAGTTAGTTTGGATATTAATTTTGAGCTAGTTTTGGATAGTGCCTATGGGTCACTTAGAGGACAGAATACAGTCTTGAATTAATGCATGCTCCAATTTTTAAAAAAATGTCAGCATTGGTGTAGTAAAAGACAAATACCTATAAAATGCTTAAGTAGCAATTATTTCTGAAACTGGATCCTTTACCTGGGCTTGATTTTTCACAAAAATAATTTCCAATATTTAATTTTTTCCCTTTGATTAAAACAGAAGGTATCTTTTCCTTGCAATTGTTTTTCTTAACCACTTGTCTATGTCTTAAGAGAAAAAACCTGATGGGAACTTTGCTCCCTATTTCAAGGTCTTTGAGTCTTGAGCCTTCACAATCTCTGCTGTGGTTCAAGAACATTTTGCAAGGATTTTGTGCATGAACAGAAAAACAAGTAATTAAATTACAAAAGAAGCATCTTGTCTTTTATGTTATAAGAATAATTTCTATACGGTAGTCATTTTCTCCTTGGATAACCTTTTATTTCTGTCTGCAAGCCTTGAAACACAATCTGGTTTAATTGTTTTTCAACTCGTTAGGATGCTGCTAGTGGTACAGAAGGTTTATCCACATGCTGAATCTAATGAAGGTTTCAGAATCCTCCAAAAGTCTGTTAAACATCTGCTGTATACCCTGGACTCCTCAGCTCAAGGTATTATATTTCCTTCTAACTATATTAAATTCATTGTCACAAAGCCCATCAGAAATATAAAGCAGAGTGCAACTGAAGTCATCATGGGTAGATGATATTATTTGTAGGTGGGAACATATGCTACTCTGGGTCTTGGGTTGAAATGTGGAGAAAGGAAGAAATGCCTACAAAGAGGCTATGAGTTTCTAGGATTTCTCTTTAGGTGAAAATGTTCTCATTAGCTTATAAAACTGTTTGTATTTGGGATGGAAAACAAATACCAGGAAGTAAGCTTCAACAAACAGATTTTCACCACTATTTTTTGAAATAACAACCTACACTGAATTCTAGATTTTTGACCTCGTTTCTGAACTTGAATTTTTTTCTTAAGTCAGGAGGACTTTTTCGTTAGTTAAAATATACCCTCAACCAACCATGTTGAAAATGCATGGTGGACATCAAAACAAGAATAAATCAGTACAATCCACTGTCACCTCTAGTAAGACAAGTGTAGCATGTTGCTCTTGAGTCAGAAAAATGTAACCTTTGCCTGTACAGAACAGCATTATCTACCATTTACATGGAAACACACAGATTGATGCAAAGGTTTAGAGCTGGAAGGAATAAATCCCTATTTCCCAAGTAAAATGTTGGATTAATATTTACCTCTCCTGAATGATTTTAGAATTATACTTTCTTATCTGAGTTTGTCAGCTTTTAAGTACTTTTGCTTCTGGATTATAAAGTAAGCATCAAATGAAAAGCTGTTCATTGTAGTGTCTTAAAATAATAGTTTTCATGTGAAAAGAAGGTTTGAAAAGGCTTTGAAGAGTTCTCACTGGAGGGTCCAGCATACTCTTGGATACTAGTTCCTATTAGTCAAGATTTTTTTTTAAGATCTACAATTACAGAATTAATGGCTAGTTTGCAAGATCAATTGTTAAATTTAATGGTCCTAAGGAACATTACAAAAGAAGATTTCATCTTAAAATTCCAGGCCAAAGAACTAGATGGTGCACCAAAAAACTCTGATTATTTCCTCAGTATTTGTTATATTTGCATTTTAAAGATGAGAATTTACTATCTTTTTCCTTTTCATCTTCAGACTCACACCTTAGAATTCATATAAAGTGACAAGATTAAGATATTTTTCCCAAAGAACAAAAGCTCATCTGTGCCTTAGATCTGTGCCTTAGAAGTCAGAAAAGCAGCACCTCTTATGAACTAGGCAACAAAACACTTTTCCTAGTGAATGATGCAATTTAGTTTTCCTTTTTTAACAATGGTCATGCCTTAAGTCCGTAAATATGCTAATGACCTTAAAAATTATTAAAGTATCAAGGGACAGTCAAAATGACAAGGTGATACATCCAGGAAAAGTATTTTTATCTGAAAAATTTGGTGTGCTTAGTTTTTCTTTGTTTTGTTTTTTTGGGTACTGGGGTTTGAACTCAGGACCTTCACCTTGAGCGACTCCACCAGCCCTATTTTTGTGAAGGGTTTTTTTGAGATAGGGTCTCGAGGAACTTTCTTCCCTTGGGCTGGCTACGAACCTTGATCCTCCTGATCTCTGCCTCCTGTGCAGCTAGGATTACTGGCATGAGCCACTTTCCTTTGTTTTTAAACCTAATGCCCTTTCGATATCATACGGTGCAGCTGTATTAATGTCTAACTCCATGAGTCATTAACCCCAAGTCTCTACCTGCTTGAGCAGAAATTGCATGGCCTTTGAAAAAATTTTTTAGGTATTTTTGGAAATCATTCAGGGAACTAAACTTGAACCAGTGACAAATTTAACAACCCAGAAGTCTCTGGCCCTGAGTGCAGGTAAATGCTACACGGCCCAGTCCGTGCTAACTTAGTCTTCATGGTGCTCAGCAGTATTTTTGAAGTGAATGTACTTTTCCCTTTGTTTTACACTCACTTAAGCTGGAATGGGTGGTATCTCATGGTGGAGTTACTTGGCTCTCTAATGTATGACAGGGTTACGATAGCTTTGTAGATCTTATAGCACTCTTTCAAATAACGAAAATAAAAGTGTTAATTGTGTTGATGGTAAGTGCTTCATTATCTTAAATTTCTCCTATTACCATCAAAACAAAAAAAAATTTTTATGAGATGCAGTTATTATCCCATTTCACAGGCGAAGAAACTGAAGCAAAAGGAGGCTGGGCACTTTGCCTATGTTAGCTAAGCCAGTAGAGGATTAGAAACTGGTTCTGTCTGTCCCCAAAGCCTTGAGCTCTTTTATAGATGGCCTCACTGACATTTTCTTTCTGGGACATAGACAGAGTTGAGTCCATGGTTTCCCACTAGAATATTCAAGTGCTTGCCACTAGCGAGGCTCAGCACTGCTGATGAGGTGTGGCTAGCCATACCACACTTCCTCCCAGAGGACATAGTTTTACAGAGTCATCCTCCATTCCTCTCCACACCCTGATTTCTACACATTTCCTCCTCCCTGCATCTATCTCTGATCTAACCTGAATTCTGAACATGCTTCAGGGGTTCTTCAGAAGCCTCCCCAGGAATGTGAGTGGAAGCATGGGGATTCTAATAAACCCTGGGAAGGAGGCTTTCTCCCAACTTTCTGTATTTAGGATCTAATTCTCAGCTCAGCCAGCATCTCCAATACCCAGTTATTCAACTCCAGTGCTGCCATTTATAAAGGCTGAGTAAGGAGCAGAGATCACCTTTGTGACTTGTTGGAATTTGCTCTTTTATAAAATAGCAAATTACATGAAATTACATCTTTAAATAGAAAACAATTCTTACTGATGGGAAAACATTATCTGTACACAAGAAGACTGTGTGTGCCATTTTAAAATATGCCTAATTACACAAAAAAATCAAAGCAGTATACTTTTTAAAGGTTTGTAACATTTTCAACTTTGTTGAGATCTGTTTATTACAGTATATCTTCTGAAACATTTTATAGTTCTTATTGGCTAGAGAGAAAGTTTCTATTTAAATTCAGGATCAACCCTCCTTCAAGGAAATAGTTATTCCAGCTGCAAAAATACTTCTCTTTCTCAACCAAATTGCTTTGATACCTTCACTAAAAAAAACCAAACATGTATGTGAGCTATTTTTGAACTTTGTTCTGTTTAACCTATGACCTTTGCTGTCATAGCTTAATTATTGTTGTTTAAAGTTTTGAACTTTTTTGAAACAGGTCTGACTATGTAGCTCACACTGGTTTTGTACTCACTAGATAGCCCAGGCTGGCCTTGAACTCACAAACCTCCTGCCTCAACCTCCCAAGTGCTATGATTACAGGTGTGCACTATCATGCCCTGCAGTTTCAGGAATTAAAATCAAACAGTGCCAGTCCTTCAGGTTCATTCTTTCTAAGATATTTTGGGCTAGTCTATGTCTTTTGCATTTACAAATAAATGTTAGAATAAAGTTATCTTTTTTCGTACAACAAAATCTACTTTTGATTTTCATTGCAATGAGAATGAATCTGTATATTGATTTGAGAAAAACTGATATCTTAGCATCCCACTAATATGTATTTCTATTTTCATTTACATATTATTTCATTGTTCTTGACAAAATTTGATAGTTTTAATTATACAAATTTTTACACAGCTTTGTAAAAAATTATTTTCTATTTTGTGCTTTCTTATACTATTTCAAATACTTTAAAATTTAAAAAATAAATTCAGGATCAACTGTATCATTGATCATATAAAGTTAATTTCTATTATTTACTATAATAATGATATAAAAGAGAAACTCCATATGCAAGTATGAATTAACTTGCTGAACCTCAAGTAGAAGTGCAAAGTGAGCAAGATTTGATCTTGAAAAAGAGGAGAGCACATACAGGAGATATAGGAATAGGTAGAAAACCCAAAACATGAAAGCGTTTGATGTCCCCACTCCAGAGGAACTAATACAGAAACCTTAAGACGACAGGTTATCATGAGCAGGGGATCAGGAACCAATGTAAAGATCAGTTAGAGATGAATCAACATGGGTCCTAACACATGGGTACATGAAAGCAATAGTAGGAATCTTTCTGTATAGCTATCCTTAACTCAACTAACAAAAAAGTTTTGTCTTTCTTATTATGCTTATTCTTTTCTCCAACAAAATCAGTCACAAAGGCAGAACAGGACCTGCCTGAAACTGAGGAGGGGAGGTGGGGGAAGGTGGGGGAGGTAGGCAGGGTGGAAAAATGACCCAAACAATGTATGCACATGTAAATAAATGAACAACAACAAAAAAAATAAACAAATTTAAAAAAAGATTTGATCTTGAAAAAAGTTTTATATACTTTTATACTGAAAAACATGAATCTGGACATATTTCTATCCTTGAGCATTCTGTATCTGGATACAAACAAGTAATAGGCATTATCATGATGAATTAGGTTTATCTTTCTTCTTGGTGATGTGTGTTCTCTAGGCAGAACAATATTATCCAGTTGTATCTTGAGCAAAAGCCAGGAAAACTATTGTGCTGAACAGGAAAACTTCAGAAGTCAGTCGGGGCCAAGGCAACTTCTTCAAACATGAATAATACAGCAGGTAGACAGGAAGTTTTGAATTCTGGGATATTCTTTTTTACACATATGTTAATTTAAGTAAAATAAGTGATCATCACCAGAAAAGCAGGTGGTTGCACAGGTTTGGGCAAAGCCCTTTTTAGAAAGGTTTATGATACACTACCTAGAAACTAGAACTAAAAAAAGCTGGCAATAAACCATCCTATTGAAAATCATTAGACTAATGTTTAAAGTGATAGCATTGAAACACACTGGATTATTTATGAAAAATGAGTAGTGCCTGAAGAGAAGGCTGAAATAAGTGGCATTCTTTTCCTAGCGATTACTTAAAGCTTTGGATTTATGGTAATTTTATTTATGTTGTGACCATTTAAAGAATTTTCATTCCCACTTTTTGTGTGAATGCTTATTTTTGTAATTATACAAAGTCTGCAGCAAGCTGAATCAATGTCCTATTTAACTTCTGGGGGCAACTTAATGTTGAATTAGATCTTCACATATAGTTTCCATGATATCCAATTTAAGGATTATGTTCCATACTCTGCCCCTTATTATTTGAGAAGACTCTAAATAATTCTGTTAACATTAGGCAATTTGCATTTATGGCTGCATTCAATGATCAGTGATTGCTTTTCAGAAGATAGAAAATACAGATTAGTGATGGCAGTTGTTTTCTAAGTCTACATTATAAACAACCAAAGTCTCCCACTCCCCCTCCCACAAAAAAATTCAGTGACACATTAAGACTGAAGTTGGTTGTATTTGATTAACAAATCATGTGTTAGTCAACCTTCATTATATTATTTAAGAGACATCTATGCATATAGGTCTTGGGAAAAAATAATGTACTGGTTTGATGCATACAGTAGGAATTTATTAGGAATGCATGTGTTTGACCATTGGATTGTTTGATTAGTAAGCACCCATTTCCTATAAATTCCTGTTTCCAACAAAAGGAGCATAAATATCTTTTGGAAAAGAAATTTCAGATTTTTGTATTTTCCCCCATTAATTTGACTTAGGATACTTTTTGCTGAGAAGAAAAAAAATCTCTAAGCAAACAATTTTTACCTAAATAAATATTATTACTTTAGGTGATGCTGATAATATAACACACGTGTGGAGTGAGGACGATGGACAGACACTATCTCCAAGCAGTTTGGCTGCACAGTAAGTCTTTGTAAATTGTATGTAACTTGGGTGAATAAGCAATCAAAACAGTTCATAAACATAATTTTCTTATCAGTGGGTCAAACTATAAAACAGAAAAATCAACTATTGAAACACCAAAGGAAAGGACATTGTTGAAGTGTACTAAAGTTGAAACTATTTTTATGTTATTCAACATAATTTGTGAATTCTACGATTATATAACTAGATCTATAGTGTCGTGTCTGGATTTGTTCCTTTATGCCTGTGAAAAGAATCTAGCTGGAGGTCCAGGGTTTGATTCTTTTAAGGACTTTCACTGTGAAAAATATATAAACATCTTTCCTAGTTTGATCAGCCTGTATAGAAAAATACCATAAACGAGGCAGGTTATAAACAATATAAGCTTATTTTTTACCTTCTGGAGGCTGGAAAATCCAAAATCAAGGTGGTGTGTAGGCTTGTGTAGTCTCTGATCAGAAGATTCTCAGATTCTTTGTGTCCACATGGAAGCATCCAGGCAGGACATGTGGGTTCAGCAAGGGAGGTAATGGAGTTTATTAAAGGTTAAGGAAAGGAGTTACAAAAAGCCATGGTAAAAAAAAAAAAAAAAACAAAAAGCCATGGTAGGGCCAAGTAGAAGCCAGAAGAAAAGAGAGCATCTTCCTCTTTTTCAGGTGCTTTTAAAACCTATGCTAACCCGTGGAAGGGAAAAAACCCCTGGTGATTCTCAACTACCAATAATTGATGAGTGGGGAGGGCATAGTTGAGATAAGGGTGGTTTGAGTTGTCTCTGAGCCAGGGTGTTAATAACCTACACATTGAAAAGAAGGCCCAGAGAAAGAGAAGAAAGTTCAACCTGAAATACAATATTAAGCTGTGTATGTTTTAAGAGTCCCAGACTTTTTCTAACTTAGTCTGCCTCAGCAGCAGATTTGGTGTTTTCACTGCCTACTTTCTGGTTCATATATGGCACCTTCTCACTGCGTCCTCACATGATGGAAGGAACAGACGACCTCTCTGCAACTGCTTTTATAAAAGAAATAATCCCATTCATAAGGGTAGAACCTCATGACCTAATCACTTCCCAAATGCCTCATTTTCTAATATAATCACCTGGGGAGTTAGGATTTCAATTTATGACTATTTTGGGGGACAACAAACATCCAGACCATAGCAACATCTAATTTTTCACATGATAATTTCTTCTGGCTTTTAAAGAATTAAAACATTACTTATTTCTAATCAAGCTAATGCAAAATTTGTTTGCTTTCAGTGGTATTCAAGAAGGCAAAATTATTATAGACAATTTAATTTTGGACTTTATTGTAATATATAAAGTCCCAAGTATAGGCAGTGAAAATGACAGTAGTAATCATGGCATCTAAAGATCCTAAATGTGAACAGATTCCTAAAGTAACTTTAATAATTATGGTGGGGGATGCAGGTGGTTCCTTATAGTAGATGATTAAGTAAGTTCCTGTACTTCAAGGCAAATTTAGAGACTAGATGGCCTGTTACATAAAGGTTTTGGTAGCCTGATAAATTATACTATTGCAATACTTTGACTTTAATCCTCCAAAATACATCTTTGTGCTAGTGCAAACTTGTACAAATGCAAGCAAAGAGTAGAAGGATATGGAAAGGTTAACCAATGCTTACTAAATTATAGTTAGATAGAAGGAAGAAATTCTGGCATAGTAGAGTGACTATAGGTAGTGTACTATATATTTCAAAAAACTAAAAGAAAGGATTTTGAATATTTGCCCCAGAAAGAAATGACAAATGTTTAGCATAATTTAAACACTGCACAATGTATACGTATATCAAAATATTACACAGTACCCTATAAATATATACAATTTACATATCAGTCAAAATAAATTAAATAATAATGAGAAAAGATAACTTATTTTTAACCATATTTTCTCTAAAATAGAACCTATGTAGTTGTTTATAACTTTCTACTATTTAATGAAAAGTTTTCTAACTCTCAGGAGATTCTAGGCAGAATGCCTACATAAGCAAGTGTTTCCTGTTTCTCCTGCCATCTCCCTCCTCCTCTGTGATGCCTGATCCAGGAGCTTCTCCCAGAAAGACTGAGTTCTAGGACAATTTCTCCCTAGCCAGGCTGCCGTGGTTGAAATAGTTAAGTTTTAAAAACACCATTCCTATATAACCATCAAAAGTAATAAGAAAAATTTAAAATCATTTAAACTAATGCAAGTGGATGCTTACTCCTGAGGCGAGGTATCTTTATCAGAGCCAAGAGGCACCCAGAGCGTTGACAATGCCAGAACTTCTGTCCTGAAAATTCTGCAGCAATGTAGTTAGTTGCTGACAGCTAGTTGACAGTTTATTAGAAATAATTCAATACTTTTAAGATGGCTCTTGTTGTGATTGATGAAATTAACGGATTTCTTATCTTCAGACTTCCTTTCCATTCTCACTTTAAAATAATCACAGAGTGGCAACAGTGGCACCAGATAAAAAGGATTTTTTGGTTTAGAGTTTCTCTGAGGAAACTACTCAAAACTACTTTTTTTCTCATAGTTCTTCTCCAAGATTATTTTTGTCTTAAGGTCTTGTGTGCGTGAGTGTGCATGTGTGTAACACATCCATAGCTTCCTTTTTATTTTGAACACTCTTGGAAAGTAGGTAAGATTTTGTACAAAGGATACATAAATCAAATGGTTTAAAAGATTCATTGGGTATTTATGCCAGAACAGTGACCTATACACATGGAATTTTAATTTTTGGAGTGTATTAATTTATTTTCAGAATATTTGGCAATCGAATGTTCCCAATAAAACTAAAAAAAGGGCTTGGACAATATTTCAATATCACTTTCAACACAACTATTGTCTTTCTAAACTTGACATTACACTCTGGGAATCTCTTGTTCCAGTCCATTTGGAAGGTTAGGCCAACATTTTGCTGCAAAGCATCGCACCCTAGTAGAACTGGCTCTGTACTTAAGACACAGGAAAACAAACCCAAAAGGATGAAGAACAATGCTGTGAGCACATAAATCATTGTGACCTTGACTTGACTTGGTTTGACTTGACTCACTGATATGTGGGTGATGTGACAGTTCATGACATCTGACTATATGTTGACATGACTTGATAGCATATGATTAACTTATACAGTGAGGTTAGTATTATTATCTCTCACATTTCTGTTGGGTTTTTAATAGCTATAGGGTGATTCAGAAATCCTCCTGGTATGTGGTTTCTTTTAGTTTGGCCAAAAAATGTAGTATATCCAATATTACCGTGTCCTTTATTTGCAAATTGGTAAATGGCATTTATGATATGAAGGAGGCTTTGATAGATAATAAGGATAACTGTCTAAAAGCTCAATGGTCTAAGAAAACCAAATATAGTATTATCCAGAGAATCTAGTCAAGGAAAGACCTAGGTAAAATCAGAGGGCTTTTTAAAAATTCTGTAGTGTATAAATTATATATAAATGATAGCCATATGGCCACTACACTTTTATCTTACTGCCAAGTTAGCGACTGTTCCTATCATTAATGTTTCTTTCCAAAGTTCCCTAAGGATCCAGTGTTGTTAGCCCACATTTGAACATGCAGAGGTTTCTTTAATGCTAAGCAAACATTTTCCTACATTTATGAGCTATTCCTGGATAAGTCTCTGCCACTGGTATTTTAGTAAAACCGGTGTTAAATGTCTGGTAGGACTAATTATTAGTTATTTTTGTGCAGTATGCAGTTTAATTCAAAGCAGATGGCCTCCATATCAGGCACTGGCATTTATTGTTTCTTCATTGTACACACAATTCAATAGTAGATGCTAAAGGAAGAAGCTACAAAATAGGCAGCCTCACAGCTGAGGTGACAGGGCATACGTCACACACCCACACACCCACTCAGGTATATAATCCTCGAAAATCTTCACCGTGCCCTCACGTGGTAGTCAATTTGAAAGAAAACTAGAAAGTGCTTAATTTGAAAGCAAATATTAAAATAATGAAATCTAGCAATAAGGCCCAGGGAAAAAGTGAGCTTGCAGAGAATTCAGAGTAGTGCTGCCTTTGCGCAGCTGGGCTGGGTGAAGGAAGGCATCTAATTTCCCAGTGTTTTAATACTCAAGCCAACCAAAGACATACAACCTGGCACTAATGTGATCTCAACAACATGGCTTTGCTTGGCTTTTAGATGGATTAATCTGCATATTTTTTCCTGATTTTATAGGCTCCTGATTCTGGAAAACTTTGAAGAAGCCATCTTAAATATGTCATTAAATAGTCCTTATTTTCCTTACTTGTCATGTGTGAGAAATGTGACTGACAATTTGGCCAGGGGATCACAAGGTAATTCTCTCCTTAATAGTAAATGTTGCTTATGGTTTCTATTTCTGTTCAAAGGATTAAATCTTTTAAGATATTTGCTTATGAATGTCTTAAAAAATATATAGAAAAAATACAGAAAAATATAGAAAGAAGTTTTTCATATATGCCAGTTTCAGTATGGTGATTTGATAAATGAAGTAAATATCTAATCATATTATTTTATTATTCTATATTATATTATTCTATATTGCTGCTACTAGTGTCAGCTGGTCACTTGACAAACTAATTTAAGATGGCCAAATACTGGATAGTGTGACAATGACCAACTGGATAAACTTTCCAATGTTTAGAATCATTGGGGTCCACAGAACCAACCCTTCATGACATATCTCTGTCCTTACTACTCTTAGCTGTTAAAAAGTAATGAGGAATGATGGCATAGAGTTCTAAAAACAGATGGAAATTATGGAAACAAAACCTTTTTTGTGGCAGACTGTTTTCACTTTCCTACCCTCACATATTGTTTTCAATTTTCTGTCTATGTGAGCAACCATAAAGATTATAATTAAACATTTCTCTTATTTTTTAAGAGAAAACATTTATTTTCTCACATTTTCTAAGAAACACAACCTTTTTTCATTTACCAAAATATTTTTTGAAGCTTGATAGCAAGCAAACAGCACAATACATATTTAAGCCTGGTCTTTGTTTAACTGGACATTAATTAATAAAGGCTAGAAGTTTATATTTATATCACAGTAATTATACAACCTACTATCTCCCAAATACTTCAACTTAATAGTATATCCAGAAGTCAGAAATAAAAGCATATTTAATTCATAAAGAACCAAAACTATGTAGCAGGTGCTAGAAATATTTTTATCTCTAAGTAGAATATCTATGAATATTTTAAAAATAATGAACTGTACAGTTCACATGGGTCAAGGAAAGGTTAAATTTTTACTTATCTTACATTTATATTGAACTAGGTTATAATCTTTAAAAAATTTAGTAATAAATTAGGATAAAATTATCTTTCAAACATGCTTTTGAAAGGGAGCTATAAGGGGAAAGTAATGGTGCAGTTCATGTGAAGTAACTTTTTCCCTTCCCTACAGAAAATCTAAGACTTCTGCAGTCTACAATTCAATTTAAAAAATCTTTTCTTCGAAATGGTTCCTATGAGGATTACTTCCCTCCAGTTATTGAAGTCCTGAAATCAAAAGTAAGCTATGGAAGAAAAAAAAAATCAGTACTTCCTATAATACTTTGGCAAGATACTTTTAATTTAAGCTTTAAATCTGATCTTTGCAAATAATGACCCTATTTTGATTTATGCTTAAAAAAGGGTGCTAAAAGTGTTTGGTCTTACATAATGGTCTTTGTTTTGATCACTGGTCATCTCTACATAAAATGGTCCATGAGAGCCTCCCTATAGTACATAAAAATAGGAATGGCTAATGATACAAATCTTGTTAAGTGTCATAATTTGGAAAAGGAGTCATAATATGATTTTTTATTTGAGATTTCTCTAGTTTTTAAATCTGTAAAAAGATTTTGAAGGCTGGTATTTTGACTTTACAGTGTATAAAAATCTTAAAAGATGATTCACCTATTTTTATTATTTCCATTGGAAGCAGAAACTAACAAGTCACATTAAAATGTATGACATTGAAGAAGGGGGGTAAAAGTGACCAAAGATTTTTTAAAGCTCTTAAGTTTAAATAAGTTCATATTTATTTGTCTATTGTTCTTTGTTAAGCTCATGCATATAATATATAGTTTTATCATGAAATTCACTTCATTTCTTAAACAACCCTATTAAGTTTTAAAAACAGCTTTGCTAGTAAGAACAGTAGTTTAATTGGATTTATGTAACCAGGGATACAGTAAAATTAGAACTGGTTTATTCAGGGCAAGCAAGGCTATTCGCCGTATAGTCAACAGGGTATAATTAAGCAACATGCAAAACATTATATCCATGTACATGACAAATAAATAAGCTAGTTACATTATTACCTTTTAGCCCCAGTCTTCTACATGAATCAAAATTCCTAATGTACTTAATTTAGCATTATCTTAATTTGTGCAAATGAGAAAGAAGTTATGCATTCATCTAGAAAATTCCTACTTATCCTTCAAGGACAAGTTTAAATGTCACCTCTTCTGAAAATTAGAGTATCACCCTTTCTCCTGTTTCCCAGACAGGATAATGACTGTCATCTGTGCTTCTATAATATTTTTCCATTTATTCTTTCCATCCATCATCTGTGCTTCCATAATACTAATTTATTTATTTCTAAGACATAACTCTAACCCCAAACTTTCTATAGTCAGTCAAGTGGAAGGAGATGGAAAGACAGACCAGTATGTGGATGAATAGTGAGAATAGTGTAGTGTGTAGACGGACAGGACTCTTGTGTGTGGGGATGGGATGTCTAACTCAGATTGCAGGGTATGGAAGTGAACACAGAATTTTGGCAGTGAAGAAAATACTGTGAGTCTTAAAGGCTGTGTAGGGTTAGGTCAGAGTCATGAATTCCAGACATGTGTTTGTAAGAAGTCAGAAGTATGAGCCTGAAAGATGGGTATCCGGTATCAGTTATGGTTACCTAGAGTCATGTTTACTTGAAGTAAATGGTGCCTATGAGAAAAGCAGGAAGGTTAGCTGTAAGAGGAAAGTTGAGCCCATGTCCTGAAAACCTCTTTCTGCTTAGTCAAGGATTTTGAATTTGATCCTGAAAACTGCAAATTTAAAGAGGGCAAATTTTCCTTTTAGAAAGAGATCTCTCTGGGATAGAAATGAGATTGGAAGGCTATTTTTGCAACAATCTAAGCAAAAAGGGAGGGTTCACAGGTTGTTAGTGGCAGAAACAAAAGAGACAGCTTCAAGAGTGATTTAGGTCAAATTGACACATGGCAACTGATGAGACGTGAGGCATAAGGAAGAGAATTTTCTAATGACAATGAGATTTCTGGCTTTGAGAATTGATTACTTGGCAATGTAGTTTTCAGCATATATAGAGTCTATTTCCACACAAAAGTATAAACTCTGATGAAAGCATGTCTTCTTCATGTCTAAAACCTCACAAAATAGTGCATAGTAGGAGCTTAAGGTTTTATTGATGAATGTATGAACAATTGAGGGTGCTAAAGTATAGAACCAGTGATGGGACTGTGCTCCCTGGGCAATTACTCATTGCAGTTCTTTACATAGGAAATAACCAGGCTGTACACAATACATACTCAGGAAATGGAAACAATACATTCTCAACCATTTATGCTAACGGAATGGGAACAAGGCTAAGAGCATTTTACAACATCATCCACAATTTGAATGTAATGCTCCCTTTGAGGGTTACATTATGCAAAATGTTGTAGAAGCCATGGAAGAGGAAATAAACTCTAATCCTTGTGCCTGGGGTAGAACATCCATTGTCACTTATAACAAGCATGGTTGCTACTTGAAATTCACAGAACCCATTCAGTGCTCAAACATGCTCCAAGAGAAGCCTCATCCAGCCTATCTCTTTACTGTTGTATCCCCGACACCTGGCACAGAGTCCAATATGTGGAAAACACGTAGAACATGTCATTGAAAGAGTGAAGACAAATTCCTGCAGCTTTATAACTGGGGATGCTCTTAATTTACTGCTTTGCCCACCCTGGTAACCAGTGTCATCATTGTCACAGTGATTTAGTGTCACTCATGACAAAACTTTTTCCATGGTATTTCTAAGATGGCAGTTTAGACCCTCTAAAATGCCTGTCATTCATTGGTAACTTTTTCTTCTGCTTCTGTTCTAGCCTAAACACTGCTTTTCTTGGGCTTCCATGTTCTCTCCTCCATTCATTGACCATTTTGTTATCCTTTTTTCTCTCCAGTCTCTTTGGTAAGAAGGAGAAATTTCTGATTGGGGGACCATGCACAAAATGGATATTCTCTGTATTAGGCAGGGATACAGATAATACACTATGTTTATTTAATACCTTTCAACTTTTAACAAGACCCTTTCCCCTTCCATTTTCCCAAGAGCTCAGAAGTGTTGCTGCTTTATCATTTTATGCTCATGGTATTTTGATATCTTCATGATTGTGTCCATCAGAATTCTGCATCAGATATATTTGGAAACTACTGGGCAATGGGGAATTCCATCATAGCTGAAATGGAGTTAGTTATGGATCATTACCAAATTATAAGCCTGAATCTGTGTTTGTGATAAAGGAGAAAGGACACCTACATGAGGGTTTGGCAAATCTGTAGCCAGAAGTCTGAAGTTAACATTTATTTTTAAAGAGAGAATTAGAATTCACTGAATGTATTGATTATTAATGGTGCATGAAACTCCCAAAGTTTAACACATGTACTGTTCTTAGATAAAAAGTAGTAAATAATAACAAATACTAAAAGCTTTTTTGTTGTTCCCTGGTGGATGTGCTCTTCAGTGCATTCCATATTATCTACCCTGACTTATATTCTTATTTCAGAGACCTAGATTTCCAAATTCTCCTTCTATATCTTTTATCTTATGGATCTAGGAGTATGTTATATGGAGTTTTACTGATTCAGAATTTTACTGATATATGGATGTCAAACTTGTAATTAAAAAACATATTTCAGTTTTTACTGGGTAAAAGCTGAAGTTTACTATACCCTCAAAACACTAATTAAAACAAAATATTGAGCCAAAAGTATTTATGCTTCTATTTAAGAAGGCACCAAAAGAACAGACCCTGGGTGGTGTTGGAAACCGGTTGGCCCCATCCAATAGAGACATAGTCATATCTGGTGTTTAGGAAATCAAGGGAAGGAACTGTGTGGTAAATATAAATATATAGTTACAGCTGGCAAAATGATTGGATCTATTCAGAATGAAAAATTTCTCTAGCAATAAGACTAGTGAGCAATAGTTTCATGTCAGAAGTCAATTATATTATTAAATACAGTAGAAAGTAGACCAGTGATAGTTGCTATCTGAAATGATCAATGATTAATTTCTAAGGCTTTCATATAGTTACTATAAACCCCACCACTATAAAGGCACCATTGTGCCTTTCTCATTTGTCATATGGAAAGAAATACTCCCAAACCTATGTCTGTACCATGAAATATTTCATTTCTGTCAAAATGTAACTACTGATTAGAAACTGAGCTACAATGAATGACACATGTATTTGCTTCTGTAGACATCATTTCAATTTTTTTTTTTTTTTTTTTGCCTTCTCAAAAAGAATAGCTCTAGGGTAGCTTCCAAGCACAACAGAGCTGGGTCTCCCAGAGGCAAATTCTTTTTTCCCTCAGGATGTATGATTTGGGAATATATCTTCAAAATACACAGAACATAGTGAACTGCAGAGGGGAATATAGTTGATAATTTAGAAGAAAATTATTTGATTTTCATTTTTCTCCTTTTCCTCTGAGTTTGTGATTTTTAAGCCCTTTTTTTAAATACTTTTATGGGACAAAAACACTTACTTTCCTTTAATATACAAGAGAACAGAAGAGAATTTCAATAATAATGCTGGCACTTCTGAAAAGCCAGGGGTATTCCCATGTATATTTTAAATATGGTCTCACTAGAATCCATGTGATTCTTATTTTGCAACTTAAGATTTTTAAATATTTTTGTCAACTGAATTTTTATTTGTGATAAAATACTGTCGCGTAATATTTATACATCATCACCATTTTTAACTCTTCAGTTCAGTTGTGTTAATTCCATTCACATTGTTGTGCAACCAGTTTCCAGAATACTTTTCATCATGGAAAACTGAAATTCTGTTCTCATTGAAGAACTCCTCATTGCCACTCCTTCTAAACCTCGGGAACCCATAGTCTACTTTCTGTGCCTATGAATTTGACTCTATAAGTGGAATCATATAGTATTTTCCTTTTGTGACTGGTTTATTCCACTTAGCATAATATCCTCAAGATTCTTCAACATTGCAGCATCTAAAATAATTTCTTTCCTGTTTAAGACTAAATAATATTCCATTGAATATATATGTACTTATTTCATTGTACATTCATCTGTTCATGAATATTTGAGTTGCTTCCACCTTAACTATTGTGAAAAATACTGCTATGAATGCTGGTATACAAATCTCTCTCGAGGACCTTGTTTTCAATTCCTGAGGTATAGATCCAGAAGAGGAATTTCTGGATCATATGGTAATTCTATTTTTAATTTTATGAGGAATTACCATACTGATTTCCATAGTGGCTGCACCATTTTGAATTCCCTTCCATAGTGCACCAGGATTATAATTTCCCCAAAGATATGTTAACATATGTTATTTTCTAGTTTTCTGGTCAGAGTCATTTTGATGGATATGAGGAAGAGAGTTTTATTTAGAGATTCAAACCAATCCTGCTTTCTCTTTGCTCTTACACATGATTTAAAGTATAAATTAAAATATAAAACTAGTTAAGGTGTTTGTGATTTAAACTCAATAAAACCAAACTACATTTGTTTCCTTATTTTTTTCCTTTTTTAAACTATATTTTTAAAACCTGTGAATCTATTGTTGAAAAAGACAGGTCTAAAATGTCCAAAGGTATGATATTCTTAAGAAAGCAGTAAACTTGAATGACATCAAACAGTGTTTTTTTTAAAATTTCCTTTATTCATATGTGCATACAATGATTGGGTCATTACTCTCCCCTTTTCCCCGCCCCTCCCTTTCCTCCCACTCCCTCCCTCTTGCTCTCACTCCCGCACTTCCAAGCAAACAGTGCTTTTTAATAAAGCTAATGCCAAATGCCAACTAACTAAACACAGATGTGGATTTTTTTTAAGTGAATCAATTTTGGTTGCTTATTCCCAGCTGCTGAATATGTAAAATAATGTAACTACTCTGTTTCCCACTCTTGCCCCTTTCTGGAAAGCTATCTCAACTTCGAAACTTGACAGAACTTCTGTGTGAATCAGAAACTTTCAATTCAATAGAGAAATCATGCCAGCTCTCTAATATGAGCTTTGGGAATCTGTGTGAAGACAGTGTGTTTCATGTGCAACTTCTCGAAGCAGCAGAGCTGGGCACTGAAATAGCAACCAGCTTACTGTACCATGACAACATCATATCTGAGAAACTGAGAGATTTGCTGACTGGGGATCCAAGCAAAATTAATTTAAATATGGATCGGTAAGTTTTCCCATTGTCGTCCTCCTTGAAAATCCCTTCTGAAAATATTGTTATGCCTAGCTGAATTTCCTCTTCTCATCTGTTTTGTTCCAGGCTCTTGGAACAGGCATTGCAAATGAATTACTTGGAAAATATCACGCAGTTAATACCGACCATAGAGGCCATGCTGCATGTCAATAACAGTACAGATGCTTCTGAACAACCAGGTGTTTCCTACACTCATTTTTTTTTTAATGCTGTCTTATTAGAATTCATGTGCTTCTCTTGCTGCAGTTTAAGGAAGGCTTTTTTGAAGCTCTCAAACAAACCTGCTTTTCTATCTGCCCTTACACATGAGAAACCTGAAGCTTTCAAATACAGTTACTTGTCTAAAGCAAACACACAGCAAGCTGTCAGAAAATGAAACAGGGAAATTTGATTTCACAACAAAAAGATCTTCAAATTTTGACTAGTTAGACCACTCAATTTTGTTTCTTTGATATATTAAAGTGTATTAGATAGTTACCTGCATGAGCAAGGATGAAATTTATTTGCTTCTGTGAGAATAATCTGATTAAAAAAAAAGAAGATGCACTGTCATCTACAGAAATCTTAGTTCAGAATTTCTATTGCTATTCTGAGCATAATGTGTCATTTCTTTGCATAATACCTTCAATACTGAAAAGAAAATCATTCCAAATTTTGGACAACAGGCAGACACTAATATAGAAGGGCAATAAGTCTAAAAATAAAGTGGGTATATTTGCATGAGGAATACTTAATAAAAGAAATTGAATGGGTATTTAAAGAGTAGAGACTGCAGTCATCTCAAATAAAAACAAGATATTGTTTATTGTGCCTTAAATGACTAAATATCAAATAATTATAATTACTGTCCTATAAGAGTTTGAAGCTAAACACATCCTATTTAAAAGCCAGCTAATGATTGTGAAAACCGTTTCGAAACTGCAGGGTGCTGCGGAAGTGAAGGAAAAGTCCTCTGTAGCACTATGTTATGGATTTGGCAAACTTTGTCCTAAGTTGTTATATCTGTTGATCCCAGGTTAAAAAACATTTTGAACTTGTGTGATGTTTTAAATAAAATGGAGAGATGTTTATTTAGTGCATTATGTGTTCAGAGTCTGTGAGGAAACTCTTTTGTCCTTGAATCAACCTTGGGTTATAGACACCTCAGGAAAATTTATAACCCAGAGCAATCTGCTACCTTGAGTTAATGATATCATAATAAGAACAAGTCTAAATCAGACAGAAATAGATCTTAAAGATGCAAAGTTTGCCAAAACTCGGAGACATCTGTTTCTGACAAGGTGTACATGAATACTCTTTAATGTAGATTTCTCTCTGTTAGTAAGACTACAAAGCATAGCATTACAACCAACACGTGAATCATGTGTGTGTCTTTCTTGCAGGTCAGTTAATAGACATGTTTAAAAATGTGGAAAAGCTGAAAGAAGAGGTGAGCAGGACCACAGGGATATCCAACACGAGTATCGACAAGTTGCTAGCTATTCCTATTCCAGACAACAGAGCCGAGGTACGGAGTCATGATCTGAGCTTAGAGGCAGTTTGTAGAAGGTTAGCGGCCTTTAGTATTTATTAAATACTTACAATAAAACAGTGAGAAGGGGCATGTCAATCTGGTTATTTTTCCATAAGTTGTAAAGCATTGTTCACCCTACTGTTTTTAAAACACTTGGGGTTATTTATTCAATTCTTTTTTCTTTTGGTACTGGGGATTGAACTCATGTTTACTTGAACCATGTTACCTATTCTTTTTGTTTTTAGCACAAGATAGGGTCTTGTGTTAACTTTGGTCTGTTGGCCTCAAACTGAGATCCTCCTATCTCTATCCCACCAGTAGCTGGGATTACAGGCATGCATCACCACACCTGGCCCTCAAGGCCTAATTCTTAAGTGAACACAGAAGAGAAATTCTGAGGCAACAATGCTATTGTGCATTCCCTTCTGTTTATTTTTGTTTATCCTTCTCCTTGCCTCCTTTCCTCTCTTCTTTACCACCAGATCACTTTCTTAAACAATCAATGCCATCACGATGCTCGTCACTATCTCAATCACAATGTCTAAGGCAAATTTGCGCTTTCTATAAGGAAAGTCAAGCTTCATTGATCTAATTTTGGGGAAAAAAAACATGAAGACCATCTACTTTTGTTATAACTAAAATAAAAATAGGTATTCATTTTTTACTTTTTAAAAGTCTCAATTCAAGGCTTAGTATATGCAATTGACAAGGTCAAAGGAATTATGGGTAAGTTCATGGTTGTAGTAAATGACTAATGTTATTTTCTTCTTGGCTGATAATAGGGTTTTCCACTCAAAATGTTTTATCTTTTATACCTCTTTCAAGTCCATTGTCAGGAAGTGTCATAGAAATTTTCCAAAAGAGCTATAGAGCTTAAGGAGTCATCTACTCAAAGCTTACATGTGACAGAGTGTGTCATTTCTAAGCACAGCCCACTTATTCTCTAATATTAGATAAAGTTCATAAGAAACCTTGAAACCCTCCTCTGAAAGATATCTGAGTTTCTCCTGTCATTCTAATTGGTTCCCCATAGAAAATTTAGAACTACTTTGGCTTCACATTTCTTCCTCTTGTGCTAGCAAGTAGTATTTGTTTACCTTTGCCTTTTGATCTTGCCTTCTGCTCATTTGATCCTAAGATCTCATTTCAGTAATCAGTGTTTGGCTTCTGAAGAGCAGGTTCAAGTAAACAAAACCAAATAAGTGAGAGTGTACACTCATTACTTTTAAAAGGAAAGAGAAAAAAGTTTGTCCAACCTCAAATTTCCTAAGCTTTTCTCTCTTTAAATTTGGGGTAGTATAGATGACATCTTACTTCTTATTGTCACCCTCCCTCTCACACTTCAAGGCTTTGTTTTGTTTTACATCTCTAAACCCATAAAATATATTGTGCAAGGTGAAAAGTTTGAGTAGCTATTAAAATGGAATTCAATTTGAATTAAGTAAGAGTAAAGTTTAAAAGGCACATGAGTCTTATACTACTAATTTTCTCAAATTTACCCCAAATCTTTCTTGATACTGTTACTGGAAAGTTTAGCAGTATTGTATACCTCAGTTCTTGAGTCTGGCCAGAGAAGAATTCAGGCAAGATGTGAAAATGTAGTAAAAAATCAGTAAAGTTTATGAGGAAAGGAATTTAGTATAATAGGGTAAAGGTGGGGAGAAATGAAGAAACATTTCCTGTTCTCCACACAGGAAGTGGTAATAAAGACTAAAATGGTAGTCTTTGTCTCTTAGTCTTTTATTTTCTGAGCTGGAGGGATACACGTGTCATTAAGATATTGGATTTGGGTGGCTAAAATGGGTGTTATAACAGGGAGGTGTCATCAGGCCTACACAAATCACAGGAACGATAGGTGTGCTTTAGGATTTCCATTTGCTGGATGTGTGTCTTCCTATTTTTTTTTTGTTTTGTTTTGTTTTCTTGTCGCTCGATCCAAGGGGCCTTGGAGCTTGTGACATCTCAAAGTGAAAGACAGATGCAGTTGGCCCTGGAATGTTGATAGCCTTGTTAAACATCTAAAAGATGGAAGGTGGTGGCTAGTTGCTCTGGCTTTTTAAAATAATATAATTTCCCTATCTCTTCATCTATCTGTCTGTCCTGCCTCATCCATCACTCATGGCTAACTGCTACCTAACAGTACCAATATTTACCAGTTGTTCAAACAAGACGTCTGGAATTCATCCTGATTCCTATCTTTCTCTCTTTTTCCTATCTTATTTCTTAAGCTTTCCAGTGAACAGTGAGTTCTCTCTAGTTTTCTTAATAGTAATTAACTCTTTTAATAAGTTATTTGATTCTTGAAGACAGTTTGTCACATTTTAAGATTTAGAGAACACAAAAATCCTCCTCAATGTAGAAAGATGATGCTCAAATGATTCACAACCAAAATATTTTTCTTCCTTCCATTGCAGATTATTTCTCAGATATTCTGGTTGCATTCTTGTGATGCTAATGTCACCAATGCCAAACTGGAAGATGTGATGAAGGAATTCTGCAGGTTGCCTCTTCCAGAGCGATCCCACCAGTCTTACCTCATTGGGCTCACTCTGTTACACTACTTGGACATTTACAACTTCACGTACAAGGCAAGTTCCTGTTGGTGAATATATTTATATACGGGCTGTAGTATAAAAATTTAATGATATATGCATGCCCTGAAGTACTGTTAAGGATGAGATCCATTTATGTAGCTTTTGAAATTGAGGCATTATTTTAGAGCAAATGAGATCTCAATTAGAGATCATATATTGCAAATTTGGACATTTTATAGATGAGGAAACTAATATTTTGGCTTTATTAGCTCTCAGTTTATATATCTAAGAGCAGGAGTTGAAATTAATATATATTATTCTTAAAGTGTGAAATGCAAATGTATTTATTTTTTCAGTGAATAAGCATTAATTTGTTAAAATAAAAATAAATATTAAAAGAAAGTTTTTAAGTAAAAAAATAGTTTTTTTGTGTTATCAGGAAAAAAATGTTTGTCCATCAATTTAAGTAGAGGCTACCATTACTTATCTACAAAGTAAAAATGGTCATTATTAGGTCTTAGTGAAGGAACAATGACTCTATTACAATAAGTAGACCCTGTAAGTACTTATTTAATAACCGCAAAGAAAACATAAGCATAAAAATTAAACATCTATGTTCACTCAAAGCTATACTTGGAACAAAATTATTTACATGCCTTAAAAACACTGAAAAAAATTATTTTTTCTCTTTAAAGTAAGGAAAACCAGAAGAAACAAGGCTGATTTATGTTGATAGCCAAGGGGACAAAAATGTTTTAGGACTAGTTATAAATAATCCTGTTCTGAGTTCTCATCATCCCCACACACCCATATAGCTTCCATGGCCTCCTACTTATCCCTGCCTACACACTTCCTCCCTGACCCCTGCCCCAAGCAGCAGAGTGACCTTTAAAACCTGTTATATTATGTTACTCCTCTGCTTAAAAGCTTCCAGTGACTTCCCATTTTATTTCAACAAGCCCCCAATCCTACAAGGGCCCAGTGAGCTCCACCTACTCCCCATCTATAAAATGGCATCTCAGACCTGGCTACCCTCAGCCCTGGTTGCTGAGTGGTGTGGCCCCAGGGCCATCGTTTATGTGACCTGCAGGGCTGCTTTCTTTGCTCATCACTGACCTTCTCAATGACTGCCCTATTTAAAGTACAACAAACCCCACCTTCGGCACTCTTAAACTTCCTTTCCTTATTCTAGTTGTTTTCTATTACACTTCCAGCATTACATATATTTTATTTAATATTCACTTTTTAATTTATATTCTGTTTACCATGGCTAGTGTGTAAATTCCATAAGGACTTTTTTATTATTTTTTTTTGCTTATATGCCCCATAATTATTTTATTCATTAAATTTAGGATGGGAAAATGACTCTCCAAATAAAATACAATTTTTCTTACCTTTATTGTTGTGCTGGGTGGAGGTACATTGTGGCAATTACATAGGTTCTTAGTGTATACTGAATATATCATACTTGAATTCACCCCTCCACTGCTCTCCTTTATTCCCCCTCCCTTGATTCTTGGAATAATTTTAACAGGTATCGTTTTTTGCATTTACAAAATTCACCTTATTCGCCCTCCTACCCCTTTTCCCAGCCACCTCCACCTCCACCTCCTTCTAGTGTCAACCCTCCCCCTGGGCAGGAATTATTTCAAATTCCAAGAACTGTGCCCAACACAATGATATCTTCATTATTGACTTCTTAACATAGAGGGACATATGTGCAAGGCCATCTCTCCAGCTGATTCTTGGCTTGTCATGCTCATTTTGGCTTCCTTTGACACTCCAAGAGCTTGATCTCACATCTTTTTCCTTCTCTGCCTGTAACCTTCCTCTTCATTTTATTTTTTATTTATTTTTGAGGCAAGCTCTCACTGTGTAGCCCAGGTTGGCCTTGCTTGAGCCTACAAAGTGCTGGAACTACAGGCATGTACCCAGCAATAATCTTCTCCTTAATCTTTCGATGGTGTTCTGTCTCACTCTTTAGTATTCTACCTTGGAGATCTCCTATTTTATTTTTGCTTGTTTATGCCTAATTTTTTAATATTTGCTTATTTTTGATGGAACCCAGAGCCTCACACACACTAGGCAAGAACTCTACTCTTGAGTGACATATCCAGCTCTAATGTTTAAGTTAACAAATAATATTTACATATGTTTATGGGATACCATGTGATGTTTGATGTATGTATATAATATACAAAGGTTAATGCAAGCTAAAAAACACATCTAGCACCTCATCTACTTGTCACCTTTCTCTAATTAGAGTGTTTTTAATCTACACTTTTTCAATTTTGAAATATCCAATACATTATGATTAACAGTGGTCATTGAGTTTTGCAATAAATATTTAACACTTGTTTTTCCTGTCTAACTGCAATTTTGTACTCTTTGGCCAGCACATCTCCTTTCTCCATCCCTTCCACCAAGTCTCTGGAAACCACCGTTCTACTCTGTGCTTCTAAGAGCTCAGCTTTTTTAGATTCCACACAGATCAAGTGGTATTTGCTTCTCCATGCCTGGCTTATTTCACCTAGCATATAGTTCTCCAGATTCATCCCTGTTTTTGCAAGCAACCAAATTTTCTTCTAAGGCTGATCAGTGTCCCATTGTGTGATACATCACACATGTTAGCTAAATTCTCCCTGTATCCTCCTGTCTCCAGCCTTTGGCTCATTGTCTTGTTTGATATGGGTCCCTCCATATCAAATCCTGTGAGCAGGGATGATTCCAACTGTGCGCCACTGTATACTCATTACTTCACCCAGTGCTGGGAAGATACCACACACTCAATTAATATTTATTGAATAAATCAGTGAATAGGATGATGAAGTCACTTTAAAACATCAAAACATTTCCTGAAGAAGACAAATACTATGGGATTAAAATTGTTGCATTTGATATATCACTGAACTTACTCAAAAAGCATTATGTAATTGATATTTGCCTCTGACTTCTAGAATCATTTATTTTTATAAACTTATTGAAGTATAATTTATATACAACAAAATTCACTCACTTTAAGTGTATAACTCATGATTTTTAAAAATATTTTTGTATTTAATTGACACAGAAGTGTACCTACTTATGGGTATGTGTGACATTTTAATGCATGTTTTTACTTTGAGATGATCAGATCAGAGTAATTGGAAAATGTATCTACATCAGACATTTATCACTTCCTTGTATTGGAAATATTCAAAATCTTCTCTACTAGCTATTTTGAAATATTCAATTAATTGTTGTCAACCATAACTGTTCTACTGAGCTATAGACTATCAGAAGTTATTACTTCTGTGTGACTGCATCCCTGGACCTGTTAACCGTCCTCTCTCCTTCTACTCCTCCCTCACATCCTTTCCAGGATCTGGTACTGCTATTTATTCTCTACTTCTGTAAGATTAACTTTTTAGCTTCCACATGTAGGTGAGAATATGTGGTTTGTTTTTCCATGCCTGACTTATTTCACTTAACATATTGCCCCAGTTTCATCCATGCTGCTGCGAATGTCAGAATTTCATTCTTTTTATGAGGAGATAATATTCCATTATATACATATATACATACATATATATATATATATAAAATTTTCTTTATCCATTCATCCACCAATGGATACCTAGGTTGATTCTATACCTTGGCTCTTGTGAATATTGTTGCAATAAACATGGAAGTGCAGAGGTTTTTTTGACATTGATTTCATTTCCTCTGGCTTTATAGCAGTAGTGGGATTTCTGGATCAAGTGAGAGTCCTATGTTAAGGTTTTTGAGGAAATTACATACCGTTCTCTAATGGCTGTATTAGCTTACATTCCCACTGGCAGTATATGCAAGTCCCCCTTTGTCTTTTTCTCTCCAGCACATTTTGTCTTTTTGATAACAGCCATTCTAATTGAGGGGAGATTACATGTCATTGTAGTTTCAGTTGCATCTCCCCAATGACAAGTGATGTTGACCATTTTTACATATATTTGTTGGACATTTGTATATCGTCTTTTCCCCATTATTCAGATTATTTATTTTTTGATGTTGCAACTTAATGATTTTTAATAAGTATATGGATTGGTGCAACTCTTATCACAATCTAATTTTAGAAAATTTCCACCACTCAAAAATGACATCTTCATGAATAACCTTTAGTCTAGACATTCTCTAATTCTGTCTCTCTATATATGCCTTTTTTAGACATTTTGTATAAATTGATTTGGTTGTATAATATGTGGCTTTCATTTCTGGTTTCTTTCACTTAGTATAATGTTTCTGAGTTTCATACAGAGAAGACATCTCTGTATTCTATTTTTAATATTGCTGGATCACATTTCATTTTTTAATCTGTTCATGTGGATTTGTTCCCACGCTTTAGCTTTTGTGAATATGCTATGAATGATAACATACACATTTTTGTGAGTGTCTGTGTTTTTAGTTCTCTTGGGTAAATACCTAGGAATAGACTTTCTGGGTGGTAAATGTAACTATTTAATAAACTTTAAAAATGTTTTTCAAAGTGGCTATACTTTTTTATACTCTTACCAACAATGCATGAGGGTTCCAGTTTCTCCACATAAATCATTTATTTTTATTCTGTTTCTGTTAGGTGTTTTTCCCTAGGAAAGATCAAAAGCCAGTAGAAAGGATGATAGAACTCTTCATAAGGCTGAAAGAAATTCTCAATCAGATGGCTTCCGGCGCACATCCACTGCTAGACAAAATGAAATCCCTGAAACAAATGCACCTGCCCAGAAGTGCTCCATTAACACAGGTGGAAAAGTCACTTCAGAATGTTCTTGCTGAAAAATTCTTCCTGTCATACTAACTTTTAGTTAAGATTTGCTGCAATCAGTTCAGCTACCAGTCTAGCACATTGAAAAAAATCATCTAGAAGGAACTCTTCTGCACTGGCAACATTTTTTTTTACCACTGAAATGGATGAAATTTGTCATTCTGTATTTACATTTGGGATACACATTTTAAAGGAATTATGGAAGTGAAGGATACTCTAAGCATTATGATTTTTCTTTCCAGTCTGTCTTCATTAGCATCTCTAGCTCATATAATATTAATGAATCCTGGATATTTGTGTCACAGGCAATGTACAGAAGTAACAGAATGAACACACCCCAGGGATCTTTTAGTACCATCTCTCAAGCATTGTGTTCCCAAGGGATTACCACTGACTACTTAACTGCTATGCTGCCCTCTTCCCAGAAGCCAAAAGGCAACCACACCAAGGATTTTTTGACTTACAAATTAAGTAAAGAGCAAATTGCTGAAAAATATGGAATTCCCTTAAATGCCAGTGAGTACACTTCAAAATGAGCATGCTGATTATTCCTAATGACAATTAAAAACATTATCTAGTCTGTCTTCATTTCTCATGATAAGTGAAGCATTAATTTTCTCCAAGAATAAAAGCAGAAAACACACAGCTCTGTGAGGTAAGTACTTCTCTATCTTAGCAAAAGCAAAAGAGGCACAAAGAAGCTGATTAACTGGTCAAGATTACTCAGTGTGGAAGTACCAGGACTCTTATTTGAACACACCAACTTCTGCAAAGCTCGTCCTCTAAACCACAATGCTAGACAGTCATAAAATCACTTAATGCTAGAAATGTGTCAAAGAAATGCATCATAGGTGACGTCATCATTGTGTGAACATAACAGAGTGCACATACAAAATGTAAGATGGCTAAAATGAGGCAATGTAGTCTTATGGGACCACTGTCACATATGTCCTCCATCACTGACCAAAATGTCATGCAGTACCTGTTTGTACTTAGCATTTGTTAGTCATTACTATGCCTTCCTTGCCAGAAGATGATACAAAATCTTGCCTTAAATTTGTTTAGGCCAGTATTTTTTCCTAACTTTCTAGCATTAGAAATTTATATCACATATGGGAGAGCTGTGTCAATGAAGCAGAACTATAAACATTTAGTGGTACATCAATGCCGTTTTCTTGATCTATAAACTTTGAAATGCCAAATGTGATCAGTGGAGCTTTTCCAAATAATATATGAATTTTTAGTATAGCAGTTTGATTGACTTGCTTATTCATCTTTTTATTCATTCAACAAATATTTATGGAATAGCTCTTATATGTGTCTGGTAGTATCCAGTAGTAGGTTTTTGTGTGTGTTCAGAAAATTAAATGCTGGTGAAATGGATCTGTTGGAAGCAGTTCTGAAATGTGTTTTTTAATCTTTGTATCTCTCTTGGCAAAATGCCATCATTTATTCTGGGCTTGCTCATTGGGTTAAAGTTTCTCACTTAAAAAAGATTTATTACTATGCTTTTTTACTTTAACAGCAGATGCTGCATGTCTGTTAATAACAGGTGGGGCTAAAGAAACAATATTGGAAAATGGTAATAATAATCCATGTTGGCTTACCATGAAAAAATAGATTTGAAATACAACTATTAAATGATTTTCTGCTTTCTCTTTTATTATAATTATTAATGCATAGTAATTGTGCATATTAATTGGTTATTAAATGACTTTGGTTTCACTTTTTACTTCCAGCACCATTTTGTTTCTCGCTTTACAAAGACATCATTAACATGGATGCCGGCCCTGTGATTTGGGCTTTCTTGAAACCAATGCTGCTGGGAAAGATTTTATATGCACCATATAACCCAGTAACAGAGGCCATAATGGAAAAGGTTTGACCATTATAACTCACTTTTATTATTATTATTATTATTGTTGTGCTGGGTGGGGTACATTGTAGCATTTACAAAGATTCTTACAATGTATCAAATATGTCATACTTGAATTCACCCGCCTCCACTTCTCTTTTTCATCCCTCCTCCCCCGATTCCTGGAACAGTTTCAACAGGTATCATTTTTGCTTTTACATACATGTGTACACATTATTTGCACTGTATTCATCCTCCTACCTCTTTCCCTGCTACCTCCTCTCTCCCACCATGCCAACACCGCCCCCCCTCTGATTTTGTGTAAGATAAAACATAGAAGATAAAAAGAGAAACATGACATTTTTACAAGTTTGAGATAAAGATAGCTACCAGGGAGTTTCCTTGTGTTGTTTCTATGCATATACGTATACCTACTATTATTATTACTTTTGGATTTCTGAAACTCTTAACTAATTTCTAACTTTGGCCCTGGATATGTATAAATAGGGTAGGTTAGATTGGTAAATTTCTTTGAAGAGAAATGAACCATGTTGACATTTGAGAATGAGGTTAGTTGAAGCAAGACCTCAAACTTTTCAATCTATCTTAAAAAGAGAAAAATTGAAAATAAGCAGTCCTTAAAGTACAGATTCTTGGCTTCATATTTGGTTATATAATTTAGTATTTCATATTTATGTAGAAGTAAGATGTTGAGAAAGATATTACTAATTGTTACTATAGTTATCTTTTATTTCATTTAACCACAATAACATCTCTCTTTCACTTTTAAAACTGGCTTAATGATTTGAATTATAAATTTAACACTATTAAAATGGTAGAGTGAAAATGAAAAACATTTCTATTCACCATTACTTGGTCATTAAACTGTAGTTGATGTGAATATACATTATTTTAGGACTATGTAAAAATTAACAGGTCAACACTCTTTTTTGCCTTGTTTGTGATTTAATACCTTATTTGATTTACATTGACTATATGATATAATTTCACATAAATGAAGTTATACACATGCTTATTTTCTAAGTGTAGCCCCCTCACTTTTGTGTTTGGCTCTTATTCCCCCGTTTTCTACACTCTTGATCTTACTCTTCCCTCTGTGTAAACTAATGCATGTTAGCATTCAAACATGTCTTCCAGTAATTTATTCCTATTCCTCTCTTTCTAGATTATGATGTATTTATACACACGTTCAGATGCAGGGTTCTTTGGTCATTGTTTGCATTATTAAAATTGAATGACATTATGATGCTTTTCTCTATTTTCTCATGCACAAATACATTGTGGTAATTCTTCCTACTCAACAAGTGGAAGTTTAGCTCATTCTTTTTAAAGATTGCAAATTTTTTCACAATGTACAATTCATTCAGCCAGTCCCAAGTTGTTGGGAATTCGTTTTGTTTCCAGTAATTGTATTTATATCCTTCTTTATCCTTGAACTTGGATGTTCTTTTCTTTTTTTCTTTTATTCATATGTGCATACAATATTTGGGTCATTTCTCCCCCCTTCCCCCACCCCCTCCCTTACCTACCCCGCCCCCTCCATCTCCTCCCCTACCCCAGAAACTATTTTGCCCTTATTGAATGTTCTTTTATAGAGTTAAGTGTATCATAAAATGAAAAACTTGTGAGGAATTGGGAAGATATTCTTTCATTTCAGCTGTAAATTCACTGTGGACCTGAAGCAAACCCTAAATTTTCTAGAATTTTTATAAATGATCTTGACTCTTACAAAATCTGTCATTTACAACTTTTGAACATGTAGAAAAAAAATTTTTATTATTCATTTATTCACATCTGCATACATTGTTTGAATCATTTCTCCCCCCTTCCCCCCTTCCCTACCTTCTCCCCCTCTTCCAGGCAGAACCTGTTCTGCCCTTATCTCTGATTTTGTGGAAGAGAAGACATAAGCATAATAAGGAAGATAAAGCATTTTTTGCTAGTTGAGTTAAGGATAGCTATACAGAGAGATTCCTAGCATTGCTTCCATGTACAAATGTGTTACAATCCAAGTTGATTCATTTCTAACTGATCTTCTCACTGGTTCCTGATCCCCTTCACTTGTTGACCTCTGTTGCTTTAAGGTTTCTATATTAGTTCCTCTGGAGGGGGGACATTAAATGCTTTCATGTTTTGGGTTTTCTACCTATTCCCATATCTCCCATATGAACTCTCCCCTTGTCATGTGATCCAGGTGCAACCACACTGCTGCATTTGCTCTAGATCTAAAGTCTGCATATGAGGGAGAACATACAGTTTTTGGTCTTCTGAACCTGGCTAACATGTAGAAAATTTTAGACAATATTTTAAACTATACTTTTAAAAACTGGCTTTTGTAGTTATGTAACAAAACAACCTTAAGATATGATTCTGAAATATAGGAAAAATGCTAATGGATCACATTTCTTTTGTTTCTTTGTCATTAAGTCCAATGTAACTCTGAAGCAGCTGGCAGAATTAAGAGAAAAATCTCAAGAGTGGATAGATAAGTCGCCATTTTTCATGAATTCCTTTTCCCTGTTAAACCAGGCAATTCCAATGCTCCAGGTATGATTTGGTTCTATCATTCACCTTAGTAGGAATTAAAATTCTTTGAGATTTTAGTCACTTTTATTTTGTGAATGTAGTAACTTATCCATATTCAGCAGATTATAATTACCTCCTCTAGAGATGGAGTCTGAGACAGGATAACAGATCTGTCATTCATGTTTATAATCCCATCCTCTCTTGTGTGGCAGTTCCATTGTCTGTAATTAAGAAATAAGACATATTACAAATTGGCCTACAGCTAGTGAGCAAATCGGTGTTTTGAGAATAAAATACTATAAAAATATGATTAAATTATTTATTTCTTTCCTTTTTACACTGTTTTGCTATCTTAACTGAACTAGAATTCCTAAAGCACTGATATTCTGAGGAGCCTTAAATTTGTGAAGTTCTCTAGTTAAATCTTATGATGTGTATTACCAAATTCAAAATTTTTTAAATATATTGTACACAACATATTCTCATTTAGGTACTTATGTAAGAGTCTTGAGTTCAAGGCCATGAACTGGAGCAAAAATTATTGTACCCAGAAAAAATGTAAAACATAAGTTGACTCCTTCAAAATTTAGTCTCCAGTCTAGCAATTATTTTTTTCCATTTATTTTTATTGTTGTGCTGGGGTACATTGTGGCAATTACAAAAGTTCTTACAGTATATCAAATATAAATTCTTATGCACTCTCTAACAACTCCAATACAATGCAATAGGTTGAAAAGTGTAATTTGCAATTCCTGTAAAAGATGCAGGCTTTTCTAAAGAGATTGCAAATTGTGTAGGGGAATGTTCCAATCGCAAACAGTGCTATTGACAACTAAAGATGAAACAGCAGAGCAAGCCCAGTTATCAACTGGAGAAAAGACAATTGGTAGGAATGATGACAGTGCTGGAGATTGAAGAGGGAATGGTTTCATGGCAAAGAGAAGCCCTTTCAAAATTGATGAAGCCAGGTGCTGGTGGCTCCTGCCTGTAATCCTAGCTACTCAGGAGGCAGAGATGAGGAAGATCATTGTTCGAAGCCAGCTAGGGCAAATTGTTTGTGAGACTGAATCACAAAAAGGGCTGATGGAGTGGCTCAAGGTGAAGGCCCTGAGTTCAAGCCCCAGTACTACAAAAACAAAATAAAGGAAATGAAATTGATGAAGTCCTAGAATATTTTTGCAAAAAAAAAGTTGTTCTTTATGATAGTGCTCATGAATTTAAACATGGAATGATATTTAAAAATGATACAAACATGGATTTGTATCATACAAATTTGTCAGGAAAACTGCATACTCAAAAGAAGCTTTCGTCTTTGTTTTGATTAGCCATTAATGCATAGTTACAATTACAACCTGAATTTTATTTTAAAATGACAAAATAATATAAAAATTGATATTTCATACATTTAATGAATATAAAATGAAGTAAGCTTTTCATTAAACAGCTTCCCCATAGTTTACTACTCTATCTTGTTTCTAAGTTTAAGCACACTTGTGCTAAGTGAACTTTTATAGAGAGTCTCAGATAACAAAGCCTTCTTGAATAGAACTTTATTGATAGTTATTGTCCCAAGTGGAAGATTGCTCTTTTTTCCTAAAATCTTTTTTTTCTGGGAAGAGAAAAAAATCGCACATATTATTTTATTAAGGAGATTTTTGTTAGCTAAAGTAGTGAATTAACAAAGCACATGTTCCATGTATAATAGTTTCCAAGTGCAATCATTTATTACAGTCTCTGTAACTATGTTCATAGAGGGGGTCTCATCTGATGGAAGAATCTTTATTACTTTCTAGAGCAAAATGAATCGCTGTTTTAAATGATTTAGGAGAAACTTCGCTCTGTATACATGTACAGAGTTCGACATTTCAAGTGTTTTGCTCCAGACCTGACTCAGTGGTAGAGCACATGCTTAGAATGCATGAAGAGCCAAAAACACAAAAGTGTAATAACCGCTTCAAGATGTGGTTGAAAAATAACTAAGAAACTCAAGTTAAACTATGACAGTGCTTGGCACGAGGTAAACAGAGCTAGTACTACTACAGTGGCAGAAGTTATGTCTCCTACTTTAGAAAATAGCAACAAAAGCCTTTAAATTTTAAAACAGAGTATTTAAAAAATTTTCAGTGTTTCCCCAGATATAGAAGCTAATTTAAAGTCTTAACAATTTATTTTTCCATTTTTGTATGGTTGCACTTTTTACAGTACAAAATAATATCATAAGAATGTACACTGACTCTCCTGATGCTGAGTCATTTAGCTCTACCTTACAGAAAGGTAATCCAGAGCTGGGAAGCCTGAGTGCTTGCTAAAATCCTCACAGCTGGGAAGCAGTAACTAGAATGCAAATCAATTATAATGTCAAATTCCATGCAGGCATCATAATTGCTAAAAGTTGTTTTTATTTGTCTGAAGAAAACAAAATTTGACTATGAACCACATTACTTGTAATATACACTTAAAATAATATAATAGATATGAGGAAAAAGACATCAATTAAATATAGTTTCCTAATATTGATAATTATGGTCATATCTGGCCATGTTTAGTAATCTGACCAATTTGTGTTTATAGACAAACAAAAGCCTAGCCTTTCAAGTCATCATTTGCCACCCTCCTCGTCTCTCTTTCTTGAGGATTTGTATGTGAGTCTTTGTAAGATGGTACACTGATAATACCCGATGGCAGTTATTTCACTTTACTGAGGTTGTTTTTAGAGAGACAATGATTAAACATGTTTTTTTCCTGTATTGAAACTGATTTCTATTATTATTTTTTAGAATACTCTAAGGAACCCCTTTGTGCAAGTGTTTGTAAAATTCTCGGTGGGACTTGATGCTGTTCAACTATTGAAACAGATAGATGACCTTGGTGAGTTCAGCAGCACAATACTTCTATTCACTCATGTCAGAAATGTGAAAGTCATTGTCTCGTGTGACAACTTCTTTTTCTTTTCTTCTGTGTTTAGTTTCTAGCAAGTTATGAGAAGAAAAGTGAGATCCTGGATATATTACCTGTCTTCTTCCTAATTACTTACAAGTAGTAATGATTATTTGAACATTCACTAGCTACAATCAGTTTCAGTTGTTATACTGTAATATACAACATGTAAATATTGTACTATTCGATTATAAGTAGGTAGGTAGAAATAAAGGAGCACACTTCAAATTTTATTTTATTTCTGGGTAACTTGATACAGAGCAAGTCCTTAAAGACACAGGAGATGAAACGATTTATTTCTGAATACATTTAACATTTTATCTCTACTGGCCTCAGCATCACTTGACTAACCCAGAATGTAGCTGCAAGGGGTTATAGAGTTATCAAAAGCAAAACCAAAGCAATGTGGAGACTAAAAAGAAAATAAACCAAAATCAGTATTCAAGGTTGGATCTTCCTCTCATAGTCATTTAAGAGGAACAGGCTGCAGAGGATCAAAGGAAGCTGCCTAAACTTATGCATTCCCTCTGCCACATCCCCACCTTCAACCTAAAGGATGCAAGACATCTAATTCAGCGGTGTCTGATTCACTGTTGCTATGCAACCATGGGTATGAGAAGAGATTGAGAGCTTCAGAATTTGGCAGTAGCAAAGCAAATACCCCGCCTCCCCCCCACACCCCTAGCACTTCTGGGACATAATAGTTTAGGTAGTAAACTAGTGGGGAGAGATTATGCCTACATTGTATACATTCGCATGATATATAATTATATGCATTTTATGATAACCTAACTTGATTAAAGAAAGATATTAGGGGATTTATTTTCTAAAGGTATCATTTGAGTAAGGTACTATTTGATAAAAATATCAGGGATAAATGGCAAAGTTTTTATATAAATTTTATTATTCCTTACTTTTAAAATGTATGAGGCTTGGAATTTTAAATAAGATTAAAACAAATGTAGCAGTGACTCTAGTATGCTTGAGGCCCTGGATTCGATCCCCAACATTGAATAAACATATATTGCAGTAGTCTTGTATGTTAATTATATATATAACATAGTGTCTAAGAGTTATATATTTTGATTTGGGGGGTGTTGATCCCCCCAGAGCATTTCTTATTTCTGTCTACCAGCATTTCTAAAGAAATGTTGTGTTGATTTCCAATGGCCGCTGGAGGCCACTGTTCAACTACAGTTTACCCCACCCCCACCAGCTTGTACAGCAAGTAAAAACATTTCACTCTAAACTCTAATGAGAAATGCATTTAAGAAGCTGCCCTCTGTGAAATATTTAGTCTTATTTTGAATGATATAAGAACATGTTTGGTTCTGGGAGAAGGGATTTATGAAATTCACGGCTTGCTCAGAATTCATTATGATCAAGTTAGTAAACATTTAGTTGGCCAAATGATTTGTTAACTTACAATTTCATATTTACCCCTTGTCCTGGCTGACATCCTCACAAGGAATCATGAAACTGAATAGCAATTAAATCCTCTTTCTTCCAGAGTAACTACCCAAAATTAAATCTTGACCATTTTCTCTAGATTAATACAGATGTCAACAGAGGTCACTCATATAGTATTATTCATTTATTTTTATTTTTTATGGTGCTGGAATGGAACCCAGAGCCTTGCACACGCTAGACAAGCATTCTACCACTGTGCTATACCTCCAGGCCACCATAAAATTTTAAATCAACAATATTCAAAAGTTGCAAAACTCTAGTATAGTTCCTCAAGTTTCTGTAGCACAGCTTAATGGGGTAGAGATGGTATAGTTTATTTCTTCCATACATTCTACATAGGCTTTCCTTTGTTCCAATTTGCACATTCACAGTCATTGTACAAAGGAGGCATTTCTATTTAGCTTAGTGGGGTTTTTTTGTTTTATTTCATTTTGTTTTATTTTTGAGACAGGGCCTTTCTATGTAGCCCATGCTGGCCTCAAACTTCAGCCATCATCTCTAGTGGTTCACAGCTTTCTTCCTAAATGGATAGATTTTTAAAATACAGTTTACCCTTAGTCCTTTGTTATTCACATTATAGCAGAATATACTTCTAACTTACCTTGTATCTTTCTTTAAACCTGGGTTTACTTACTGAAAGTATAACTAGCTCAACATTCTCCTCAGCAAATATTTGCAAGAACTGGACATAATTTCCTATGTATAGAGTACTAGATTTTTTCTGAGTAAATTCTATAGCATCTCATTATTTATAATCTGGATTAATGTTTAATATTTCTCCAAAAATCAGAATTTTGTCTTCTTGCTAGTGGAGTAATGTTTTATGTCTTTTGCTTTTCCATTTTAGACATTCTCAGGCTTACATTGGAGAACAACATTGACATCATTGATCAGCTTAACACACTCTCTTCCCTGACAGTAAATATTTCCTCTTGTGTATTATACGACCGAATTCAGGCAGCAGAAACCATAGATGAAATGGAGAGAGAAGCTCAAAGGCTCTATAAAAACAATGAACTCTTTGGAAGTAAGTGCTATTCTATTAAGGTTTGAGCTTCTGTTTGTACTAAAATTGACCAAATTCTTTCCTTACCTCTTTCATCCAGAACTCAAAAAAGTAGTCTGGAGATCATTACCTTCTCTGATGTCCTTACAAATGAGAACTTTTCATAGCCAACCAGCCATATTATCTAAGTATGAGGTACCTTTAATATATGTCTAATTTCAGTGGTGCAGTTTAAAAATTAAGAATGAAAAGGATTACATAGTTAAAGGGTGAAGTTGAGTACAACCTCATAATTAGCTAAGATTATTCATTTAAAAGTACGATTTTTATAATTTTTGTAAGTGGCTCAGAAAGTGATATATTTAATCTTGCTACTTAGTTTGTGATTATATCCTTAAACTCGAGCTTTGAACTTCTGAGTTTGACACCTCCTATTAACCATCTTTTCTATAAATCAGAGGCCTGAACCAAATGTCACATTACTAACTCAACTGACTGTTTGGCTGCCCCCTATATATACCCTCTGAACAACAACTAATGTCACCCATAAAATAAGCTTTCTACTATTGTTGCTGTTTTATTTTTAGGTGTTATTTTTAAGCTTCCTTCTAACAGAAGCTGGCACAGAGGCTATGACTCTGAAAATGTCTTTCTTCCTCCTGTCATAAAATATACCATCCGTATGAGTTTGAAGACTGCCCAGACCACAAGAAGCATAAGAGCCAAGATTTGGGCCCCAGGGCCACACAATTCTCCATCAAACAACCAGATCTATGGCAGAGCTTTCATTTATTTACAAGATAGTATTGAAAGAGCAATCATTGAATTGCAAACAGGAAGGAACTCACAGGAAATAGCCGTCCAGGTTCAAGCAATTCCTTATCCCTGCTTCATGAAAGATAAGTAAGTCTGTACACTTGTAGTTATTTTCAGTGATAACCATTTTTTGAGAACTCACTTCTGTTCATTTGTTCAGACCTATTAAGTGAAAGGGAAAATGCTTACCAAGACTTTGTCATATACTTAGATCCTAAAATGGTGTGTGTCTTGATGTTTCTTTAAAGAACAAAGTAACAGAATTCTACTTCTTTATGGGAGTATAATCCTAAATTCTTACATCTATGTATATGTAAATACATATATACTCTTTGTTACATCCAAAACATGCACAAATTTCATTTGCTCTACCTAACAAATCTCATGAGTTACGTGGGAGCAGGTATTATTGTTCATGCTTTCCAGGTGAAACTGAAATCCAGAAAGGTTAAATAAATTGACCAAGATACATAGCTGATACCTCATTTGTTCTTCTGATTATAAAACCAGAATTTATTGCATAACACTAGTCCAAAGCAAAAATCAACAATCTGGAGAAAAACTTACAGGAGACTTATTATTAATGAATAAGGGTCTTTGCCTAACTTTAGAGCCAGAAACTGCATCAAGGCTGGATCTGATCCAAGACAAAATTCATTCAACAAATGTTCTATAAATGCCTACTCCCATGCCAACTTCCCAGGAAACAAACCAAAAAAACGGGCATGCCCTCAACTCCTAATGCTCCCCTACCACTCGTCTCTCTGATAGTGACACATTTCTTCATGTTAAAGTGATAATAGATGATAGTGATGTCATGTTCCACTAGTATTTGCATTTTTCTTGGGGCACTTGAAGGTAATTCTTTAGCCTTATGAATTCAAAAAGAAAGACCTTGTGACTTTTTTCCAAATGAAGGCTTCTATAGAACCCAAGATGTAAAATAGATGAATGTAGAGTTTCATTAAAAACTACTGCCTGTGTCAATACCAGGACTCCCTGGACAGTAGCAGCAGAATCACCTGGAAAGTTGTCTAGAAAACAAATTCCTGCTCCTATCCCATATATGAAAAACCAGAGGTTTGTGGTTTTAATAAGCTTTTTCAATTCTTCTGATGCATGGTCAACTTTGAAAACTACTGCATTTGAACTTTGAGGCATCATGGGCTAGCTGCTCAAGAATTCATTTGGGACTCCATGAGGTCTTCCAGGGACCCTATAGTTTAGCACTTTACCAAAAAAGACATGTCTACACCATTTATGAAACATCACCTTGGATTCCTTTGAAGAATCCAGGTTCTTTGTCTACATTTTAAATTAAATGCATTGGACTTCACTTTATTTCATTTTTGGAAATTTCCTTTTATAAGAAGTATGAGCTTCTTAAAAGTAGATAAATACAGTAATTTTGGAAGATACATCTTTTAGTCAGATAAACCAATCGTCATCTAATTTTAAATCTGCCTTTTAGGTAAGAATTTAATTTAGACAGAAGAGTTTTGAGTGTTGCAATTATATCCATATAATGATTATTTTCCCAGACAGGACATATTCAAACCAAATTTAAGCAATATAGTAATTTTATCTAACAATCCAGAGCTGTGTTTTCAGTCTTGCAACATTACAGCAAGAAAACCATGGGCCCACTGTTAAGTCACCTTCTCACTTCATAAATAATGGGGTAGTATGAATGATTATTCTCCATTTCCAAATGGGAGTGTATTTTCAGTGTAAGCGGGAGTGCATTCTTTGTGTATTACAATTGGCAAGGGTGGCTTTCAGTTCAGTCTCTGAAGTCTTTTGATTCCTTTGGTTTTGTTTTTCAGCTTTCTCACCAGTGTCTCTTATTCCCTTCCAATTGTGCTCATGGTTGCCTGGGTTGTATTTATAGCTGCCTTTGTTAAAAAGCTTGTTTATGAGAAAGACCTCCGGCTTCATGAGGTATGCTGAGAACCTTCTCTTATTATGATATGTGTTATTCATAGAACAGTTAATTACTGTGATTTTCATCATGCCTATCCAAACTCAGAAGACCTAACCCATACATTGTGAATTAGATAGAAAGACAAACATTTTACAAATCACAAAGGCAACTTTATATTGTTTTCTGAAAAAGTGGCATAAAAAGTCATTTGATAAGTGCTTCTGAAAAAAGAAAATCTGAATAATTTTGAATAAAATAGGAGTATAATTTTGATTCTAAAATTAAGGTTTTGCCCAAGAAATTACATATGTGACATAGGATCTAACAAAGAAAGTTTAAATAATAAAAACAATAACTGCTAGCACAGAAAGATTGTTGGCATGGCAACTAAGCAAGTTCAAATGTAGATACAGATATAGACATAGACATGGGTACAGATGTGTGGCTTATTTTTGCTCTCAAGAAGAAAATTCTCTTTCTAGTATACCTTGTCTTCTTCAGTTACCTTCTCCTTCGTTTCCCAATGACTTCTAATTTATGGAAATGAAAAATTTCATGTTATGTTAGTGGTTAGGTTAATAATATATAACAATTGGAGACAGGATCTGGATTGTAAAGTGTGATCTCTTCTTGAGTATATCCTTTATCATTAACCCCAAATCTAAAATAGGTTACTCCTTTTTAGAATTTATGGTAAAGCATTGTGTAGTTGTTAGATTGTGTTTGAATAGAAATTATTTTATCTGCCTATCATGTATTGAGTCCATTCTTACACTTATTCGGGGAGTGGGAAGACAACTGAAACATTTCAAAACTGGGGCACAATTATTATCGCAAGACCTGGTTGAAAATCTGAAATAATGAGATTACAATAACTAGTTAGTCAACTTGTACTTTTCAGATATACCTTGCCAATGCTTCTAGGCAATTGGTTATTTCTCCTTATAAGACACAAGTCACTGCTTCATATTTCTGTTAGTTCAGTCTCAGGCTTGCAGGGTTGTCCCAGTATTTGAACCTACATTTCTTACCTCTCTTATTTGAATACTGGCTAATGTTCTTAGCTGTATTTTTGGGTCAGTTATAATTTGGTAAACATCTCATCAACTAGTTTGAGACCTGGTATATTCAGGACTATACGTAATGGTCTCCTAATTGCAGTTTTGAAACTTGTACTGTAAGTTTTGTTGTAAACCCCTACCTTATATCTCTCTTTTGGGTTTCTGGTACTCAAAAATGAATCTTTACAGATTACAGGACAACTTTGAAGTAGAAAAATGAATAAGAATTGGGTTCTTTTCTATTTCAAAATAGATACTTACCTAAAATATATTACTTATGGTAGATACAGTAAACATAAGTATGCATCTTGTGTGGACCTTCCTCTTTAAATGCATCTATGTTTGTCACCAAAAAATATCAAAGCATAATGGAGTCCTTCCTCAATTGAAGACATGAAAGGCATTGTGGTATTCAGGGTGAATCCAGGGCCTCTTGTATGCTAGACAAGCTCTCTATCAATTGAGCCATATTCTGAACTGTGAAAGACAATTTTCAGTGGTGAACCAGTAGGTATTCACTTTCATATTTTAACCACAGGGTTGTTTCTACTAGTCGCCTAGTTGAAAGCAGTCATTGAATTCAGAATTAGAGTGTTCCAGTGAGTGGAAGTATATGGAACTGAGTCTACCAGTTCTATCAATTCTATTAAAAATGACTTAAGCTTAACCCCTTAATTCTCTGAGTCTTTTTATCTATATTTCACTCAGTACTATATTTCTAAAATACAGATGTTTCAGAACAGAGTAGGCACTCAGTTATTCATATTATCTATTCTTTATTAATTCTCAGTTATTGAGTTTTTCTTTTTTAAAAGCCCCTTAAATTAGAATGCATTTGATAGGACATCATGATTTACTTGACAGTGATTTTTCTTTCTTGGTATGTAAAATAATGGCACATCTCAATGTCGATGTGTCCTAAACTCAAAGGAATATAGCATATTTGTGAAATGAATTGGTGAAAGCAGTAGGTTTGACCTGAATGGGGTGTCCTCAGTGCCTCCTGCTCAGCATCACTCCTGAGCCCCGGGTGCACATCTTACCTCCTCTTTTTCAAAGATGAAAAGGCAAAGCATGAAAAGTGAGAGGTGAGCTGCTGAGAACTATGGATCTAATTAATGGTAGATCCAGGACTTGATTTCAAGTATTTTGACTTCTAACTAATCCTTTTCCATGTCATAACTACCATCCTTCAACAACATAGACTTCTAAGGACTGTTGTGGATGATAATGGACAATCTCTAAGACTATCAGAGACTTAGAATCACTTTTTAATACCATAATTTTATATTCAGTTAAGGTATAAAACTGCTCATCTCTTACTTCCTTTTCAATAAATTAAACCAAAAAAGTAATGAAAATCAATATTCTACTTCTTTCTTTCTGCAATTATTCTAAAATCTGGGCAAGAAAACCAAGTTAGCTTCTATCTCGATAAAACCACTAATCTTTGACTTGGGTATGATAGGAATCCATTTACCTTTTAAATTAGCATAAATACTAATGACCAACAAGTTTGTTTTTGAAATTAAGCCTGTTGTTTAAAAAACTGTTTTAAAAATAACTTTCAATTGACTTTTATTCAATATTTTTTGCTTTTAAATAATTAAAATCTTAAAGCTATAAAATACTGATTTTATGACACAAAGAATATTTTTTCTTCTTATTTTCATGTTTTATGTGTTAGCATCATCTCTTTGATCTCATGGCCCATCTGTGGGACTTTCTGCGCTCATATATTCACGTGGAGACAGGTGTTGTCCCCTTAGCTCAGCAGACTGGTAGCCTAAGAAATCTGTGGACTGTTAACAAAGAATTATGTGAGGATTTTTAGTCTCTGAGGCTTCACATTAAGTAATTTTTATGTTTTTCTGACATACACTATCTATCTCATTAGCAGGAATTTGGAACATTCCCAATAATAATAATAAATGTTCTTTATATCTTACCAAAACCCTCCAATAATTTAACAACTGAAGTTGAAAATGTCATTATTCTCTATGAACTAATACTTGACATACTTGTTGAATTGAGTGACAGCAAGCCCATATATGAATATTATGACTTCTTGACCTGTATCAATGTCCACTTCTATACATAAGCCTCTCATTAATGTGGCAAAGCATTCATCCAAAAGTGAATCGACTCTTATTTTCTGCTATAAACGGGGCTGACTTTGATCACTGTCAAAGAGGCTTTCTTAGAGCAACTGGTTATCAGATATTGATGAATTGATCTGACAGGTTTGGAGGCTTAGGACAACTGACTCTTTGATTACAAAGCTGGCACCTGACATCTGTCACTTTGAGGAGGAGCTAATAGCCTCTGAGAAAGCATGGCCTGCCATTCTCTGTGGGCCATCGTCCATCAACAAGTTTGGTCTTGCTTATTACCACAAAGTTGGCAGTGCATCTGGATGACTTATATGCTCTCATTGCTCTTTTCTTTTGTAAGTAGCAGCTGTTCTCATGGCAGGAGATCCTAAAGTTTAACATTGAGGTTTCATGCTAGAGTGTTCTGTAGTGAAAACTTTTGGAAGCACTTAGCCCAGTCTATTTCAGTAAGAAGCAAATGTTCAGCCTTCAACTTTTATCAGTTCTTAGAAGAATCCCATCTTGAGTCTCAAAAATTTCAAAGTTATGGTGATAAACACTTTTTGTCTTGATCTTTAAGCCTGCCAAATTATCTTTTAACAAGCCTATGAATGCAGATTATCCCAAATATACAAATGTTTTATATTGAAACTATCAACCATGAGGGGGAAAAAACATGTTTTATACATAACATCAGCTTTAATTCGTGGCTTGATATTCACCTTGTAAAATATACTGACATTGTCCTGTACTGATATTTATTGCAGCTGAGGCAAGGATTTTTCATATAGGCAACATAAAACAAAGGGGAGTAGTTAAACAGGTTCCATAGCTCCCCATTTAATTATATTCAAGTTGTTGTAATATCATTAAAAACCTCAAAATGCAAATAGCATGAAAGACACATAAAAAGAGTTAACACATCATAACCATACTGGAATTGATAAGTATCTCTATTGAATACTCTAGCATGAAACCTCAGGGTTAAACCTCAGAATTTCTGGGAATAAGACCAGTTAGGGTTTTGTTGTGTTTTATTTATTTATTTTTTCACACCAAAATGTAACTTTGTTTTCAATCATAGAAAACCCAGCAATTAGGGAAAATTTTTCATAGTGAATCTTTGTTCTATGCAAATGTTTTTGCTTTGACCCACACACCCCAATTCCTATGGAAACATAGGTTGAGTCTTTACTGAAAAGGGGACAGGGAACAGGAGAACAGCAGTATAGAGAGACAATGAGGGAGAGGACAAAGTTAAGAGGAAAAGTCACAAGCTTTTTATCTGCAGTGACTAGCTTAAGGCCCACATCTTAGATTGTTGGCAGTCAGGTAGCTGTCTCCATGGTAACAACAAGAGCAGCAGAGTTATCAAAATGTGATAAGTTGCAAAAAAAAAAAAAAACAGAAAGCAAAATCTGCTATTTGGGCTTATAGAGTAAATGATCCAGTGCATTCCCTATTAACATTGTTCTAAACAAGTTAGGATTAAGGGAAAGGCAATGCAAGTCCTTTATTTTGCCAAAAATATTGGATTATAAAGTTGTTAGTGGAGTATTTCTTTTGTTCTTTTTAAAAGATGGAATATTAGATTCATAAGTTTAACATTAGTCTTGTACTGTTAAAACTAGAAACCAGGAGAGCCAGGTTCCTCCAAAGTACCACATGTTGCCAAATTAAGACAACCAAGTCCAGAGGACTTTGAGATTTCTTGGAATATTTTGAATTAGTGACAAAGCTTCAAGTTTTATCTTGTTGCCTTGGTGGAATGCACTGGCTCTGGGTTTGTCACTGAGCTATCCAAGACCATCATTTGAGAGAGAGGCATAGAATATTTCAGATACCTGAGTTCATTGTGGGTGTGTGAATGTTTTTTTGTGAAATAAGGATGGTAAACTGATGCACATTGTCAGTGAGTATCAATGATGGAGTCAGGAAAAGAGAAATGATAGAGAGTGAATAATATTGAAATACATTGCATGTGTGTTGGAGGAAGGCATAACAAAACACACTGAAAGGAAAAAGGGAAGGAAGAGTTATAAAGGGGGTTAATCTGATTAAAGTATAGTGTATTCACAGGTGACATTCCATGGTGAAACCCCTTTGAACAATGAATATAAACTTAAATAATGAAGGACAGGAATGTAAAACAGATCCTGTTAGGAGGTGTGAACTAGTAGGAGAAAGAAGGTGAAGGCAGATACTAAAGGAGGCTGAATATGGTCAATATACTTTATGTATTTGCATGAAAATAGAACAATGGAAACTGTCAAAATCATTTTAAGTAGCGGGGGGGAGGGAGAGGCAGAATGATGGTGGGATGAACCTAACCAAGACGCACCATGAACATACATGGAAATGTCATGATAAACCCCTTGTACAACTAGTATAAGCTAAAAATATGCTTGAATAGAGATGAAGAAGTCATGGCTAACGGCAGATAGTCTCCCTTTAAAGCTTCTATGTTTTAAATTCTTAGAAATCAGATCTATTCTAGTTCTCCCAGGAACATGGCTAACAGTTGTGTTGTTCACCGATGTTTAAGGAAAAATGTGGATTTTTTATTATTTCTTATCCCTACATAGGACTTAAAGTTAAACTAAACATTTTTTCACCAGCTTGAAATATTCATGCCTGGGCTAATGTCAACTTCATGTTGTAAAATTTTGCAGGGGATACCATAAATTTGATGGTCTATTCTAAATTCGCTTGATCTGGAGACATCAGATAGATGCCAGTTAAAACAACAGAATTCCAAGTGTGTGTGTGTGTGTGTGTGTGTGTGCGTGTGTGTGTCTGGTGCTGGGGATTGAATTTAGGACCTCATGCATTCTTAGCAAGTGCCCTACCATTGAGCTGTAGTAAAAATTAGCAGCCTTCCTTAGAACTGTATATTTTTAAAAAAAAGAACTTCACCAAATCATCCATTATGCTGGTGCACCCCTCTGAGAGCACACAATCTAAGATGGGCCAGTATAAGTAGTTGTGTTTCACATAGTAAGCATGAACAAATTCTTGATTTATATAAATCATTAGATTTATAGAATCACTAAAGTCTACATATGTATGTGAAATTTTGTCATGATACAAAAGTAATTATTACTTAGGATTCTATAAGCTTAAGAAGCATCTAACACGTTCTCCTTTTTACAGTACATGAAGATGATGGGTGTGAACTCCTGCAGCCATTTTTTTGCCTGGCTTATCGAGAGTGTTGGATTTTTACTAGTTACCATTGCAATCCTCATCATTATACTCAAGTTTGGTAATATTCTTCCTAAAACAAATGGGATCATTTTGTTCCTGTATTTTTCGGATTACAGTTTTTCAGTTCTTGCCATGAGCTATCTTATCAGTGTCTTCTTCAACAACACCAACATTGCAGCTCTGATCGGAAGCCTCATCTATGTCATTGCCTTTTTTCCATTTATTGTTATGGTTACGATTGAGGATGAGTTGAGCTATGTAGTGAAAGTATTCATGGTAAGTCAGCTGTTGAAATGGTCAGTTTGTGAGATGAATGGGTCCTTCTGCCCTTTTTTCTTAGATTCTCAAACTGAAAGTTCACTTATGTAATTTTAAAATACAGTGATGGCAAAATAAGCTTAACTGACCCTATGATAGCCTAGTTTTTCTACATCATCACGTACCACACAAAGCATAAGACTATGAAATTTCCCTCCCATAGCTTTCAGAACCATAATAAGTGATGTTGTAAGATATGGTTCCTGAAGAACAGTCATATTATAACATCTTGTTTTAGAGTGCTATACAATTCTGACTTCTGTCTGGTCCAATTCCTAAAACATCATGGAGTCTTTAGTATTGAAACTATTCTTGTATATGAATAATCCTTATGGTTTTCATGGCATAAAACATAGCTTATAAGAAAGACAAATGCATTGACAGCATATATTTGACTTTGAATGTTTTCTGCCTTTTCATTCAAAAGCACTAAATTAAAGATTAAGATTGCAGACTTTAAAATTTAGAAAGCAGAACTAAACCTCATCATATTAAGACTTTGCCATTTATAGAAGTTGATTGTGACAAATAACTTTCATCCAGCACTGACTACTTTGGGTTTAAACTAAACTTAAATTTGTAATTTGTGAATATCAATATCCTATCACTTGATGCTTTCATCCACAATGCTGTTACCTGAAATCAATTTATTATGTGAAAACATGACTTCCTAATATTTTCATTTAATTTTAGTCTTAATGTGTCATTAGTATCTTATAAATTGCCAACTTTATAAATCACCTGCCTTATAAATCACAGCAATATTTAATAAGTTTAGATACATATGTTGACTTCTTAACAAGTATTTTCCAAATCATAATTTTCCAGCTATATTTCTATCTCCTTTTTTTTTTCTTTTTTCAAAGTTGAGGCATGCTTGGTAAGGGAATCTCTGTATTTTTAAATGTATTTAGCGAGCTTCAATTTGATCTATATGTCCAACGTTTTCAGTATTTTAAGATCCCTCTGGGTGAAATGTATGAAATCTACTAGAACTGTCACTGCTGTTCATTTTCTTCCAGAGTCTGCTGTCCCCAACAGCATTCAGCTATGCAAGCCAATATATTGCACGCTATGAAGAACAAGGCATTGGTAGGTTCACTTTCTCCAAAACAGGGTTTATCTTTCATAACTGTGATATGTGTCAGGAAAAAATAAATATCTGTGTTTAATTTTTAGGTCTTCAGTGGGAAAATATGTACAGTTCCCCAGTCCGGGATGATACTACCTCATTTGGCTGGCTGTGCTGTCTAATCCTAGCTGATTCTTTCATTTATTTCCTTATTGCTTGGTATGTCAGGAATGTTTTCCCAGGTATGAACATGCTTCCCAATGATAGATGCTTTTTGTGGTTGCCATCATTGCAAGTCAGCTAATATATATGTTTTAGTAGTTGATTTGACATCTATAATCTCCAAAAAGAAATATTAAAGTCCCCAAACTAATCAAAGGCACTGTTGCAGTTCCTCTGTGATATCCCTTTAAAACATGGAGCAAATTAAGAAGCATGGAACAGTGGCAAGTTAATCCAATCTTTCCAAATAGGAGTGTGAGATATTATGAGGCAAAACCCAAATCTCCTAATTCCAAGGAGAATTAGTAGAAGACAGCTGGGCTCCCTTGCCGAATCCTTTCTAATATACTTAGGTGTTTTCCCATTAAATTTTATTTATACTTATACATTTTTGATGCTATAAATGAATAAAAGAGTATAATCTCATTTGCATATAATTTCTATAAAAGATGACTATGTGGAGACAGAAAGCAGATCAGTGACTGCCTGGGTCTTGAGGAAGGAGCTGGGATTATCTGCAAAAGGGTATGGGAGAATTTTTGGAGTTATAGAAATGTTCTCGCAGTGAATTGTGGTGATGCTTGCACAATTTTATAAATGTACTAAAAATCACCCAACTATACACTTACAATGGGTAAATTTTATGTTCCATAATTATGCTTCAATGAAGCTGTTTAAAAAAAGAAAGATAGGTTATTATTTTTACTTTACTTTGGAAACTGAACCACTCTTTAGTTTTATGTAGTATCAAAAAAAGTGAAACTACTTCTTGAGCCATATATACTACTCTGTTGAATACTATATTTTATATTGTTGAATACATTACTTTCTAATGTTTAATATTAAAAATAAATATTCATTCTTCTTAATACATTCTTATTACAGGAACATACGGTGTAGCAGCTCCGTGGTATTTTCCAATCCTTCCTTCATATTGGAAGGAGCGATTTGGATGTGCAGAGGTGAAGCCTGAGAAAAGCAATGGTCTTATGTTTACCAATATCATGATGCAGAACACCAACCCATCTGCCAGTAAGACAAGTAGGTCAACAACATGCATTATTATAAGAGAAATGATGTAAAAACTTACAGGACTAGTAGTTTTAATTATGCTTTTCTAAATGGCAGAATTATCATCCTTTTAGTCATGGATGAGTATGTCTACACATATGTGTTTGGACTCTTAGGGGGATTGAATTGTGGCTTTTTCTGGGCTCATTAGCTCAGTTGGTTAGCATATGGTGTTAATTAGGCCAAGATTGTAGATCCCTTTGTGGTCCAGTTAACCTCACACAGAGAAAAATTTTGCTCCTTGACTACAGTCTGCACCCCTAACTCCAGCCATCTGCCACAGGTCATAAGGAGTGACCAAGAAACAAATATAGATAATTTACCATAACCCATCACTAATGCTAGAAAAATCACTCAAAGCTCATCTCTTAACTGACATTGGGTAAGTAGTGTCACTTTATAAAGTAAAAATGAGCCATATAAGTGGTCCTTTGTGATGCTTGAAGGAATTATACATAGTATAATTGGATTCTATAAACCACAGATCTTAGTTAACCTTATCACTATAAAATCACAACTTGTAAACATTTATTCTATGAATTAGTATCATCCTGCCCAACCAGAGGACAAAGCTTTAGACTTATCTTTTGAATACATAAGTTCTATAGTGAAGGAGAACTGATAATTATGATTCTTTATTCTGAAACTGCTTTTTCTGACAGAGAAGACTTTGAGAAACTACAAAATGCGTTTTTCACCTCATTCATTCTGTAATCAAGTAAGAAAGAGGCTGAAGACTATAATAAGTCACTTGTGTTTTTTTCTTAAAGGGTTGTATTTATATAATCTTCAGTTTTTAATTAAAGAAAAGTCTATCTCTGCCTCCATTTCCTTATTTGTGAACTTGCACCTCTTTCCTTGATTTTCTCTCCAGGTCCTGGATACATGTTTTCCTCCAACATTGAGCCTGAACCTAAAGATCTCCCAGTGGGAGTTGCCCTGCATGGGGTCACAAAGATCTATGGTTCAAAAGTTGCTGTTGATAACCTCAATCTGAACTTTTATGAAGGGCATATTACTTCATTGCTGGGGCCCAATGGAGCTGGTAAAACTACTACCATGTATGTTACTTTTCAACACTTAATATCACAGAAGCATATTATAGTAAATATAGCTCTTTTTTATAAACTGACCCCTTTTATTAAAAAATGAAGTTTACTAGGTCTTCCAAATGGAGTAAGATGGTTCAACTTGTATATTATAGAATGGGATCTAGTGTTTTTGTCTTAGGCAGGCACTTATTGCTTGAGCCACTCTGCTAGCCCCAGGGTATTGTCCAAAGCAGAGGTCCCAAACTGTGAGTTCAAAGGCTAGCTCAGGCCTACCAGAATATAGGATTATTTGATCCACCTAGTGTTAGCCTACCTCATCTTAAAATTTTTAATTCAGTCCCAATATTTTAAAATGAGGAGTTTCCCAATAAAGGCATTTTTGGCATGGCTTAGAAAGTAGGAAATTCTGCAACATTGGGTCCACGTTTTTAGGCGGGGACTGTTGGTGGGAGTTTGTTGGTGGCAGTTCTCTTAGTGGGAGCACCTGGTTTCTGATTCATCTCCACCAACCTGTACTGACACATTCACTCAGTCTGCTTGATTTATTTACATTTCTATATAGACCCATGTATCAGTTTGAATTTGCACATCCTGGTATGAAGGCACACAACCCTACCTGTTCCATCATAGGAAACTCTTGCCTTGATTTATAAGAAAACAAAAGAATCAGCAGCTTTTTGTTGTTGTTCATTTATTTACATGTGCATACATTGTTTGGGTCATTTCTCCACCCTGTCTCCCTCCCTCACCCTTCCCCACCTCCCCTCCTCAGTTTCAGGCAGGTCCTGTTCTGCCCTTGTGACTGTTTTTGTTGGAGAAAAGACATAAGCATAATAAGGAAGACAAAGCATTTTTGCTAGTTGAGTTAAGGATAGCTATACAGAGAGATTCCTACTATTGCTTTCATGTACCCATGTGTTATGACCCATGTTGATTCATCTCTAACTGATCTTTACCTTGGTTCCTGATCCCCTGCTAGTGATAACCTGTCATTCTGAGGTTTCTGTACTAGTTCCTCTGGAGAAGCTTTTTTATCTAAATCAAAAAGTCCAAGAGCAGTATGTGGGCTGTCCTCTCTCTTTCTCACTCTACTTACATAGCACTTTCTTATGTCAGAATGGAAAAGAGATATAAATGTTGCAAAAGTGACACTTTTTTAATTTTTTGTGTGATTTGCCTCCAGAGCTCCCCATTTGCTTAGTTGCTGAGTCAGCACTCCAGTCTTTAAGAAATGTGTCACTTGCTGCACATCTATTTTAAGTTATCACGAGTAAGCTCAGTGACTTCCAAAACATTGAAATTATTAATATTTTTGTAAATTAAAAGGTCACTAAAATAGTAAACATCCAATCTCTCTTACTTACACCACCTGTTTAACACCAAAGTTGGCATTCTAGTGAGATTACAGTGCTCAAAAGCAGGATTTCTAATAGGAACTAAGACGCTGGTGAAGAAAAAGGACAGAGAAGGCATTTGAAGAGGCCACAATTTTACGATGGAATGCCTTATTTTATTCTTCTGAGGATAAACATTTAAATCTAATGATGTATGTTATTTATATTTCAATACATTATGTTGGAAAATTGAATATTATTTTGAGTCTCTGTATAGTCCACAGGAATTCATTGCAAGGCACTTGTTAGGTACTGTGATAAAGTACGAGAAAACAGGTCCTTATCTTACCTTATGAAGCTTAGATTATGATGGAGGGAGATGAGTATTAAATAATTTGCCAGTTTGCTAGTCATTTAAAAGATGAGGGCAAATTATCTAGGTGGAAATAGACTATTCACAATGTAGCCAGTAAGACTAGGGATGATCAAAGAGTACCTGGGAAGAAGAGTTAGGAGTTTACAGTCATGGGCTAGGCACATAGCAATGGCTGTTGATCCCATGGTAATGGCTGTGAAAATGGAGAAATGTGAGTGGAGTTAGAAGATCAAGAGAAGTACAGGATGCAAAAGTGACTTCTGAACTCCAGGCTTGTGCAACCAGAACATGAATTTATCACACAAGGAAAGAGGTAAAGTCAATGAAAGTTGGGTTTGAGGTCAAAGATTGTACTGAGTTTACATACCTTGTAAGGTATCTTATGGAGAAGTGTCATTGTTTGTTAAATGAATAGAACAAGTCTACAACTGAGTAATTGGGTCTGAACTAGAATATAAATTTGAGACTTTCAGTCTATACTCTAGGATGTAAGGCAAGTATATGAGTTTGCTTAAAGAGAGAGTGTATTTGCAATTTTAAAAAGCATAACCATTTTTATTATTGTTGCCACCACCACCAACCACTATCATCTAGTGTTGATGTAACACTCAAAATTATTAAAAGCCTAAAAATAATTTTTATTCACATTTAATATCCTTTTATTTTATAACTTGACATTTATTGAAGAGATACACTATAACCTTTCTTGGTAACAAGTGAGATATACTTAATCTTAATATACAGCTTGAATCCTTGGTCCATACCTAATATATCATTTCTTCATTTCCAGATCCATGCTGACTGGGCTTTTTGGTGCCTCAGCAGGTACCATTTTTGTGTATGGAAAAGATACTAAAACAGACCTGAATACTGTTCGGAAGAACATGGGGGTTTGTATGCAGCATGATGTCTTGTTCAGTTACCTCACTACCAAAGAGCACCTTCTCTTATATGGCTCTATCAAAGTTCCTCACTGGACTAAAAAGCAGCTCCATGAGGAGGTAAAAAGGTGAGTTACACTAGGAACAAGAACATGAGTTACTACTGTTGCTAACACATAGTGTGCTTGGTCAAACTCTTGTAATAATACCAGTAGGAAATGTTTTCCCATACAACAATTACATTTTAGTTTTTCTACTTCTCTATTAATATATACATGTAAATTGTTTGACTTTCTTCCACTTGGCTCCCATATTGGCCCAAACACTCTGTTTCTAATATCCATGACTACTATACCTGTCCAAGCCCCCAACTGAACTCCTGGCTCCTACTCTTCCTTCATCCAATCAGATCTTTTTCACTTGCAAATCAGATCAAGTCATTCCTGCCTGAACCTCTCACACAGCTTCCTGCCATACTCAGTGTAACACTAAGCAATCATTATCAAGGTCTACATGACCCTACATGATCTGTCCTGATCTCATTTCTGAGTGTTTGGTTCCACTCTCTTCTATTCATTCTGCTGTGTGCACACTTGCTTAGTTGCACTCTAGACTATTTGCAACCTGCTCTCTCCACAGGTCTTTCTGCTTACTCTTCTCTGAAGTTGCACACCATTCTACGACAGCCATTTGACCTAATTCTGGTCAAAGGACCACTTTTCCTGACCTCTGCTCAAATCTTACCTTCTCTGAGGTCATTACCATAAAGAATGGATGCCTAAAACAGCCTGCAGAGGCACTCTTTATCTCAGTACTCTGTTTGTTTGGTTGGTTAATTTGTATTCACCCCCTGGCATATTATAAACTTGCTTAAGAATATATTTATTTACTGATTTTCCCCACATCCCTCTCAACACATTTATGTTGTAGTACAATCATTCCTTATGGGTAGGAACTTTTATCTTCTCACTGTTTTTCTTCTTTACATAAAACATGACTGACATAAAATAGGCAGATACCCTAAATTCTTATCAAATGAATGAATTATATGTTCCCTTGTGTTTTTCTTAGTATTAATTTTTTGTACTTCCAACTAGATGATAAAGAATAAAAAACTATTTTGGATTCTTAGTGCTTTGTTGTAGTCTACTGGGCACATAATAGTTGCTTAGTGAATACCTACCATTTAGTATTTTTTTTTATTTTTCCAATTTCAAATAGTCTGTAAAAACTATCATAAATTATTTTTGAAGGACTTTGAAAGATACTGGACTGTATAGCCATCGTCATAAGAGAGTCGGAACATTGTCAGGAGGAATGAAGAGGAAGTTATCTATATCCATTGCTCTCATTGGTGGATCAAGGGTAGTAATTTTGGACGAACCATCCACTGGAGTTGACCCATGTTCTCGTCGAAGTAT